ATGTACAATACTTTCATAAATTTAAAATTCTCTGAATGAAATATCATATAAATGAGGTATATATTTGTATTTCCCATGTGTTCTAAAACTTCATTTACAATTTAAATAATGCTGTTTTTAAGTGGTGTTATTTAATTAATCATAGTGTAAGAAAGATTTGTTATTAATGTCATTATTAATGTCTGAATACAGATGGTTTTGGAAAGGTTCATAGTGTTTTCATTAATAGTGAGAAACACTGAGTATCTATTAGATTATTCCTTCAGAATTTAAAGCAGAAATTGTAAATAGCTAACATGTGGCTGGACTTTCTTTTGTGTTTTCTTAGAACATGTGTAAATTCTCCAGAGTAGATATTCAAATCAGTAAATTGAAAATAACTTAAGGAGAAATTTTCATAAAGAGAAACAAGTTATATTATTTGTAACTAGTAAGATTACATTTACTAGTCATAAACTTCAGTAATTTATTATTGGTTTTAGAATGATAAAATATATTTACTGTTGTCCAAATGACATAGACAATGTCCAATATTGTTTTTTAATCAAAAGAACAATTAACAGAAATAACTATATCACTAAAAGCTTGAGTTATAAAGTGTTTCTGAATATTAAAAAATTGGATTACCTGCCACTTTGTTTCTAAAATACTCCCAGCTACAGGATAAAGAAAATTGATGAAAACTGGATTTTTTCTGTTAACTTAGAGTTTTTTATTTACCAGTATAAAACCACATGTTAGATGTAAGCTATTTTTTAATCTATATCAAATTCGTATCAAGTGTTGGTATCTTTTTATTTTAAAACCAGGTTTCTTATATGAATGTTTTGCTATTTGTACTTGTTCAAATCTATAATTATTTTTGGAGTAGAAAATACCCATTGATACATGTTCAAGATAAGTAGTTTTTGATCCTTTTGTTATTTATAAGAAGGCCATATTGCATAATTTGAGAAATTCTTGATCAGTGGGTCATCTGAAAATCAGATGTGAGCCACGGTGGAAAAAAACTTTTCTATTTTATAATACCATACTGCTCTAAAAATACATTTCGTGGTTTATTCATTAGAGAAGTCCTAATAGATTCAGGAAACATTATGGACTTTTTACATGACAGTGTTATGCATTATGGACAATACACTGAGATTCAGTTTTTCTGCTTTTTTTTCCCCAAGCAGTAGAGCAGTAAGTAAAACTGACATTAGAGTAGATGTTTCTAATACCTATTCATCGGAATAACTCCTTAAAGTATGTTTACTTAGAAAAAGAATCAGTTAATCAAAAAACAGAAAAAAATCACATTTACATGAAGAGGTTTCTTATTTTTCTCAGTAGACGGCAGCTTATAAATATTGAGTGAATTGCTTATACTATTCAGTTAAGATTTGTTTCCAAGACCTCCCTTTGGATTATATCAAAATATACTGTCCAATTAATATTAGCTATTGTTCCTTATTATTTTCCCTATTTTATTATTCTTTCTATAATCATAAACCCAATTATGAATTAAGATATCTCTGCTATTGATGTATATCACATTTATTAGCTTTTCCTGCATTATTAATTCAAGTCATTGCATACATTTAATGCTGTAATTTTTTTATAATACAAAGGATTTTTAACTTCCTTGGCTTTAATATAATATTAGTGATTATATTTGTTTCAAAGGTAAAAGTAACTAATATACTATTAATCAATTGCTTTGCTGTCATTTTTATATCTGAATCATTGCCAATTAATTTTAGGGTATCTGTAAATCCTGGCATATAGTCATTGAGTATTCTGAAAGTTTGGTAAAATTAATTGCTTTTTAGTAACTGGAATTACAAATTAATTATAAACACATTGGTAAGCATGTAATTATAGATAAAATTAATAACATCTTGAAAACCATAGTCGTGTTGGGGTTAACACTTTGATGAAGAGAATATGTAAGTGATATTGTATTTTTCTTGTTACTGGTAACCTCTTTTGAGATATTGTTTATACTGGTAGTAATCCAGAAAGGAAATGAAATATTAAAATCTATTAATCTAATTAGCTATTAGCTTCTACTAGAGTCTTTTAAAAGACCTGGGAAGTTTTTTTAAAGTTTGATAGTCAAGACTTTTTTACCATGAGTTTATTCATCTTTACCAAACTTTTGTATCCTTGTCTTTATGAGAAACACACTTGGAAAATAAAGTGGTAATTTTTAACCTTCACTTATACATGCATGGTTTTTTTGAAATCACAGCATCATTGTAAATGGCATAGTTCAACTCTTTAATAAGGTCAGTTAATGCCATCTCAAAATGTTATTTCAATATTTCTTACTTTGAATTTTGTTCAACAAAACTGTCTTGATTTTGTTTAATCTCTGGAAGTAATTTTACTTTAGGAGCATAAAGCTCCAGAAAGCTAGTGTGGAAATTTTCATTATTCTATTTTACTATAATTAGGATGGGTTATTTTTAACATTTAAATGTTTTCCACTTCTGAAAAGCCAGTTTTAATCTCCTTCAGCTAAGAAAATCATTTTAAAATCTGTTCTCATTTCTATTGTTTTCTTTCATTTTATTGATGAGTAAAAATTTTTTAGGAGAAAAAGATTTATAATGCCAGTAATTCTTCAGAAGGGCTAAGAGGTATGTGCTAAAGGCCTCAGTCATTCCTTAAGAGTCACTGATTTGTGTAATCACAGATTAAACTGTGATAGTGCTTTTTTTCTTTGCCAATATCAAACTGTCATAATGTCACATTTTCATAGGGTCATGAAACATGCTAGTAAATGTTTTAATGATCAACTTGATTTTTAGGTTTGACAGTTTTCACGATGTGAACCCCCCCTTTAGAGCACATATTGGCAAAATGGCTTAAGGTGGTATATTCTAATTTCGGCACAGGAAAGTATATAAAACAGTGTGTTCAACTTCTGTCAGTATGTGTCCATACGGCACAAAGAGCAAGCCTGCTTTAAAATTTCAGCCAGTACTATTGGGAGCAGCAATGTCTTGCCTTTCTCATTTTTGAAGAATTTTTAAAGTAATTGGACCCAGAGGTACAAAGCCACTATATTTGCTGTATTAAATTTGCTCCTCTCAGAAAGTTGAGAATCACTGTCTTATTTTAAAATCTACTTCAAGTAAAATGGAACCAAATTGTTTCTGAATTCTCATTATCACCTTTTTTAAACACAGCACTATCCTTCACACAGGAACTTCTGATTTTATGTCTTTTAATTAATCTGTGGGCTAAAGGCTTTTGTGTGACAGGTCAGAACATTAAATTTTCTTAAAATAATCCAATATTTTTACAAGTAGCAAATCCTCTATTTGGACACTTCTTTAAAACTTTATGAGATCATTAACTCTTAATTATTTGAGTCAGTTTTAAAATTCTTATTAGTGTAAAATGTGTCAGTATTGCTTATGAATTCCATTTTAATCGAACCTACTCCCCCATGTACTTTTTATTCAGCTTGCAATTTATATAAACTTAGGGAAACCAGAAGTAGATTTTTAGAAAATAAAAGACATTTTGCCTTATTCCCGACCTAGGGTCATATTTCAGATTAACAATTTGAACTGATAACCTTCTCCATGGCTGTCCCCCCAGTAAAATTGTGAACTAGGTAAAATTTGACTGGAATCCCATTTTCTTCTTTCTTTTACTCTCCTGTTCCTGAGCAAAGTTCATTGTCAGTCTCCATGATCACTAAATTACTGTGACTGTCTCTACTGTGGAGTTGCCTTGGTACAACAAAAAAGAGTACTGAATTTGGAGTCAAGAGATGAGATTCAGGCCTGGCTCTCCCACCTCATAAGGCATACTAGTTTTATGAAATTATCCACATCACACACACACAGCTGATGTACAGCTGGGATGCGTCGGTTCAGTGGTTCAGTTTTTAAAATATGAAATACTCTTCTAGCTGTTAGTACATAACTGCTACTCCAGGTCCCCTAGATGCCCTTACTGAGATCCTTCCTGTCCCCATTTCTCCCGAATCCAGTAGCTAAAGGTTTAAGGCCTGGCTGCCGGCCATCTTAGCCGGTCCCACCAAAGTCTTGCCTTGCAGTTTGCCGGAATACCTGCCCATGCCCACCACCAAGGGAGGCCACAGGTGGGCACCACCAGAGGGCTACTCCAGTATTTTCCAGCCCACTAGCCAGTCCCTAAAATAGTAACCATAATAATAATAGAGAAAAAAATTTTTTAAAAACCTTTTTAGTACATGTTTAAAATCCTTAAGCTGATTACTCTTTTTATTGATTTGTAAATCAGTAAATGCTGATTTACAATAAATGCTGACCTAAGCATTGTTCTTGCTGCACAACATATTTGAAACAAATTCCCTAACCTTCCCAAGTTGTCTTCATTGCCTTTCATTTAAAAAACCCAATCCTGGTAATTTTGAAAATTGCCAAACTGAATATATATCATTGATCGGTGTGTTCCATAGGATCTTTTATGCTAAATTTTAACCCGAAGCATCTTCAGTTTCTAAAAATACTTGGTTAGAAGGGTGCGACTGAGTATAAGTGCCAGTATTTCTACTGCTGCAAAATAAAAAGAGAATTTAATTTAGTGACAAAGCTGATAGGTTTGTTTCTTTTACTTTCAACTAATGCCTCGTAGAGGACCAAATTTCATTCTTATCAAGGACAAACTTATTTGTAATTTGCAGTACATATTTCTATTAAGTACTCTGTATTTATTTCACATGTATGATTTATTTTGTGGAATACAAGTGAAAAACATACAGTAGCTCGAAGTAAGAGATCAGTGGTGAAGATTGGAGCATTTTGTTAACTACTGTTATCTTGACATTTGTTTAAAGCTAGTGGTTATGTTTTTGTATAATGACACATCCCTAATGTGAATATTCAAACTAACGTTTGTTATTCTCCTTTCTCAAGAATGTTATCATGATCATGCCTTACAGAAATTTACTAAGAGCTGCACATTGTTTAAAAGTGATTTCTTGGGTTTTTGTTTTTCCTGACTTATTTTCCTAGACTGATCCCGTTGAGAACACTTATGTACGGAATCCGAACGTCAAGTTTTACATCCAGTCAAGGTCCACATCTCCTTCCACATCTAGTGAAGCTGAGCCAGTTAAGGTGCCTCACTGGAGCAGTCTTGCTCCCCAACTTTTCACTTGTGTCAGGAAAGAGGGACTTGCAAAAACAAGTGAAATCTGACTCTCTTCTTTTGATCAAATGTATTGTGTAATAAGTCACAGTATATTGAAGATCATTACATTTGACTGATAATATAGATAGGATTATAAAACTGAAGTAAAAAATGGTCCCCCCCAACTTCAACCCAAAATAGACAGAAATTTTATTTAATTTTAAAGTAGTCTTTATCTTAAGTAGAGAGCTATATAGAACAGAGGACAGAGTTGTGTGAATTTTGGAATTATCAGATAAAAACTCTGTGGACACATGGCAGTGTCAGGTGCCATTCTCATACTTTAATTCTTCTGAGCAATCTAATAAGATATGGCATAACTGTTACTTCATAAATAGAACTGAAAATTGCCACTGCTGGCAGCTGAATAGTTTATTCTGTTAATCAGCAATAGGCATCCAACCTTTTAATATTTAAATCATGCCTTTTAATAGTGCGAAAACAGTGTTGTGTTTGCACCTTATGTAAGTAAATGGTTTAAAACAGCCAACTGGCCACCTTTCTCAACAAGTCAGAGGATGTATTAGTCATCAGTTAATGCTATCCTGCCTCAGATGCAGTTCTGGTTACTCAAGCTTTACAATTCTGACATGGCTCCCTTGTTTCCCATTTGGTCATCAGACAGAGCTGTGTCTAGTTTTACAATAGAAGCAGATAGTCCCATTTTGAAAGCTGTCTGAAGTGAAGTTTGAGTTGTAGTCAGATTCTGACTTGGTTTTTTCCAACCCTGTGATAGACTGCTTGGTTAAGTTGATGATACCCTCTGATTTTAGATTTTCATTGTTTTAATATTTTGAGTTTATGCATTTTTATTTTAATGTTAAAATACTTAAAGCATACAGAAAATAATATTATAAATACCCACATAACCACAGATTTAACATATATGAACATTTTGCCCCAAAATTTGTATTAAAAAGAAAGAAAATATTCCTGACAGTTGAAATAACCTTCCCTATACCATTCCCCCTCTCCTTTTCCAGACATATCTAAATACCGTAAAATTGGCATACTCCCTTTCTTCCTTACTTTTACATGTTTATTTCATTTGTATCCATAAACAATACATAATAGTGTTTGTTGTATATTTAAATTTTACACAAAGGTTATCTGCATCTTATACAGATACATGTCTACTTAGTTCATTCATTATAACTGTTGCATAATATTTCATTGTATGAATATACCACAACTATTTATCCATTCTCCTGTTGTTGGATATTTAGGTTGTTTCCAGTTTTTTGTTATTACAGTCGTTGCTGAAGTGAACATCCTAATAGCTATCTGCTTTTGCAAATGTGCAGAGTTTGTTCAGCATATATACCTAGAAGTGGAATTATTGGGTTGTGTGGAATATGCATTTTCAGCTTTAACTAGATCTTGTCAAATTATTTTCCACAGTGATTGGACCCGTTTTCACTCCCACCAGCAGTGTGTGTGTGAGTGAATTCCCTATTTCCCCACATCCTTCCAGCCCTTGGTACTGTCAGACATTAACTTTTGTCTATTTGATGGATATAGAGTGGCATTTTTGTTTTAATTTGCATTTCTCTGATTTCAAGTGTTATTCAACATCTTTTTATATGTTTATTGACCATTGATGATTTGCCTGTTCATGTCTTTTTGTCTGTTGTTCTATTGAATTATTTTTCCACTTGTTCTGTAATTGTTCTTTATATATTCTGGATACTAATTCCTAGCTGGCTATATGCATTGCAAATATTTTCTTCCAGTCTGTGGCTTATTTTAAAATTTTATTTGTCGTATCTTTTTGTCTTGCAACAGTTTTTATTTTAAAGTAGTCATATTTGTCAGTCTCTTATGACTTCTGCTTTTTATGTCTTTTTAAAACAGTTCTTCCCTATGCAGCAGTTATAAAGATTTTCTTCCATATTTTCTTCTGAAAGTTTTTAAATTTTGCTTTTACATGTTTAGGACTTTAATCAAACTAAAATTTGTTGTTATGTATTATGAGAAATGGAGTTCTAATGTTTTTCTTGTATGAACCACCAACTCTCCTGTATTTCCCCCATTGATTTGTAAATCTATCTCTGCTTTATATAAATGGGTCTGTTTGGGGATTCTCTATTCTCTTTCATTGTTCTTTCTGTCTGGGATTCTCTGTTCTCTTTCATTGTTCTTTTTGTCTATTCCTGTACCAACATCACATTGTCTTAATTATTGTAGCCTTAAAATAATTCCTGATACCTGGTATGATCAGCCACTCCCACATACCTTGTTCTTCTTCCTTTACTTCTTGACTCTTTAGTTTTTACATATGATTTTTCGGTTCAGCTTCTAGGTTCCATGTAAAGCTTTTGATTGGATTTGAATTTATAGATTATCTGAGGAGAACTGATCTCTTTGTGATATTGGGCCTTTCCATCTATGAACATTATTTAGATATTTTTTATATCCTTCAATAAAGTTTCATTATTTTCTTCCCGAAGGTACTCCAAATTGCTTGTTAGATTTGTTCCTGGGAACCTTAAATTTTTATTGCTATGGTGGATGGGATCTCTTTAAAATATGTTTTCTAAATTAGGCATTGCTGGTCTTTGTGAATTATGATGATCTTGGATTCAGCAGCCCTACTTCACCCCTTTTAATTCTAAAAACTTCTCTTGGACTTTCTATGTAAATTCTAGTGACAATTTTGTTTCCTATGAATTGTTCTTTATTAACTTTCGTAAAGGTTTTGTATCCATCTCTTTTATTTCATATTTATTTTTTTAAATGTTAAGTTATAAATTGGGTTTAATACATTTTTCAAGCTATTTAAAAGTAAATTAAATTTAAATTAGAACTAAACTCATAGTTAAGTTGAAAACTCTGAGAAGCCCATCTAAATTCCATTTTAAGGCTATCATGTGTGTAAAATATTTGGCTTTTGGAGGTTATATAGTAACAAAGGCAAAGAGGGACCATCCATTTTTCTCTTAATATTTTAGAATATTCTGTAACTTTACACAAAGCTAGCTTTTCCCTCTTGCTTGCTTGCTTGCTTAGCATCCTAAAAGGAAGTCATTCTTCATATATTTTTTTTACACATTGCTAATAAGTGATGCCTCTTTTTTTCCACAATAACATCCAGTAAAAGCACTGGTTCCTTTCATTCAAAGAAATATCTTACAGTATATGCCATAAAATAAAGATATGGCAAGTAATTAAATTTCTGTCAGTTCTGAATTCCAGTAATATTAAACAATCTAACTCCCTTCTTAGAAATTACTTTCTTCACAAAAATTCCACTAATCAATCAATCCATCAATCAGTCAATCTCTTTATCTCGCATTCGCTCTCTCGCTCTTTCTCTCTACACACATACACACAAATCCACAGAATTGTATTCCATGTATGTAATGTGCATCCTGTATATAGAAGTCAAAGGAGTTAAAAGAATCTTCTAAATATTTTGATTATAAATCTTGCTTTAAAACTCTTTAAGATACTTTATACAATTAATATGGCATTTTCAGTTGAACTTGAAAATTAATATCCTAAATTTTATGTAGGCTACATGCTATGACTTTCTTGTGTTCTTCTGTAGATTCTCTTTTACAAGTTATTTATTTTTAAATTTCCAGACTGAAATAATTTTTATAAATTGAACAAATATTTCATTTGTAGATATTGCAGGCAGAAATTTAAATTATCAACACTAAGAATTTAGCTTCATTGAGATAATTTTTCCTTATTGCTGTTTTGTTTGGCTGTGTTTACTTTTATTTTTAGTGATGTTTGAAATAGATGAACTGTTTTATGACATTTATTTCCTCTTTTCCCCTGGATTCAGACTGTAGACTATACTCCACTTCCAGTTCACACACCAACCTTAAAGAAAAAGGGATGCCCTGGTTCAACTGGCTTTCCACCTAAGGTATTCAATCTAGTGATAAGCATTGTATGTTGTGGAAAAAAAAAAAAAAGGAAAGAAGGAGAATGGATTTCTTCTGCTTTTTGTATGTGCCATGATTTTTACTATTAGATTCCTCAAAATTATAAACATAAAAGCTGGGAAAGAGAATAAATTCTGTATGAGTGGAAGTAATCACCACTAAGAAAGGTAGGACAAACATGCAAAGTTTGTTCTGTTTTAACTTCCATCTTCTTAAATTCAATGTTTTGAAGTCTGTTACAGCAAGGAGTAGTGCTTGGAGTATGTACTGTAAGGAAGGCATTAAGTTGAGGCCACTTGTGGAAGAATCTAAAATTGAGCTTAATAAAACACTTAGAAAGAGAAATGTTTAGAGAAAAATTCAGATCATTTTTTTTTCATTCCATTCAACATGACCATGTCCAAAGTATTGTATATGGTAGAACATGAAGATTTAGTTGCTTATCTCAAGCTCCTACAAAGGAATTCTAGAAATTGGAACTCTCCATCCCCCGAACATGAACTTCGGGTAAACCCCAGAATTAGAGACAGATTGATGCATCTGAAAAACTAATAAAATATACCAAAGTATAACTGGTATAAAAGAAAGCAACAAACTGAATTATCTATGCTAGATAAAATTTTGAGGCTAGACAGAGCATGAATTTAAAATAAGCATAATAAGTATGTTCAAAGAGGTAAGAAAGGAAGTAAGTTGGGAACATGGGTCAGGATAAGGTACTTATAAAGAAAAATAATTTCCAGGTGCTTGACCTGAAAATATAACTGCTGAAATAAAGAACTTAAGTAACTGGCCTTAATAGCAGAATGAGCAAACTGGATGTAGCAGGAAAACAAGTTGTGAGATGGAAGATGAGGTGGAAAATATGAAAGTTAAGCTATAAGACAGAAATAGTGTCTATCTATATAGTTGGACTTTCAAAAGAAAAGAAAAAATAGAGAGATGGAAATACTTAAAGAAATAATGACCTAATATTTCCCAGAAATAAAGGTGGAAATCCTCATACTGAAATACATTATTATGTGCTAAAAAGAGGAGGTAAGAAAACATTCACACTTGCACACATTATAGCAAAATTTAAGGATATCATAGATCAAGAGAAAATTCTAAAAACTTGCAAAGAGAAAGCAGATTATCTAAACAGAAGTCAAATTGATATTGGTCTTCTCAACAGCAATGAGATGCAAGAAGACAAGAAGTATGTTCAGAGTGTTGAAAGAAAAGAACTCGGAACCCTAAAATCCATTCTGCTGTTAGAAGTAAATAGCTAACAGGGTTAAAGGAAATTGCCCCTAGGAAGGACGACTTGGGGCAAAGGGGTTCCTCTGTTTTTGTTATAAGGATTGTGATACTATTTACTCTTAAAACTATATACATGTATTAATTTGATTTTAAAAGTTAAACATACATACATAGGAGAAAATGTGGAATTTCTTTGTGACTAGTTAATGAAAATAAGATCGCAAATCACAATCATAAGGTGAAAACATTGATGGACATTACTACATTAAAATTAAAGATCTTTGTACATTGAAAACATTGTTAGTAGGTGGTTAATAAGTGATGACAGACTAGGAGAGGATATTTGCAGTGTTTAACACCAGTAAGGGATTCATTTCTAGAACACGGTATATAAGAAACTTCTGTAACTGCATGTGAAGAAGATTAGAAATCCAGTTGAAAATCTGGCAAATAATATGAGTAATTCCCATAAAAGGAAATCCTAATGGTCAGCAAGCATGTGAAGAAATGTCCAACCTTATTTATAATTGGTGAAATTAAAAATTAAAGTAATTTAATAATTTTTAAATTAATACTACTTTATACTCACCAGATTGTCAAAAATTAAGTAAGGTAGCATCAAGGATGTGAAGAAACACACAGCTTCACACACAGCTGGTGGAATTTTAAACAGGTACAACCATTCTGGAGAACAACCTGGCTACTGGAATAGACATATACCACATAACCCAGCAATCTCATTCCTTCAGAAAAATTTTTATGCAGATCCATTAGGCAAAATGACAGAGATGCTTAGTGCTGCATATGGTAACAGGGAGTTGGAAATAGAAGAAAGATAGGTAAAATATGGTTGATGTGTAACAAAATCACATTTATATAAATTAGCAACACTCAAAAATATCTAATTCATAAGGCTGTGTACATATCCAAGGACCTGTGGAGATCACCTTAGATTGGGTGACAGATTTCATGGGGAAGGATGGGGAGTAGATCATCAAGGATGAATTAAAAATAAAATAAGGCCAAATACAAGACCAATGTCAAGGATCTTAGTCCTTATGCTCTTTTCTAGGAGTTTTATGGACTCAGGTCCATGTTCAATCCTTACTCCATTTTGAGTTGATTTTTATAACTGGTTTAAGATAGGGATCCAGTTTAATAAATAAATAAGGTCAAATAAAATTAGAGGGGCCTCCATGAAGCTCTGGTAATAATATTTCATGGACTGAATATTAACTCAATTATGTACAGCTGTTCTTCCTCCCCCAAAAATAAAATAAGATTTACTTCATGTTTTTTAAAAGATGAAGGATTGAATCTATAGTTTTCTCAAAGTAAAAGTGTTTAAAAGGGAAAAAGGTTATTTTAAAAAAACCTTTAATAAAGGTTTGCTTGAGATAAAGACTTCTTGTCATTTTATAGTGTAGAATCCTAATTATGTACAACTACTGATTTGTAAGTTTTCAAAAAGGGTTGGTTCTACGTTGTTCTCACATCTTTCATTAAAAGTATTTTACCTTCTCCACTGAGTAGCTTGAAGTCTGCAACGCTGGCAAAATTGGAATAGAAAAGAACCCTTCTTTCTATCCACTTCTTTAAATTTCGAGATTATAGTTAATTCTCATTTTACTCCAAATTATCACATAATCTAAAATTAATTTGAGTTCATGCTTTAGGCTTAATGCCTCTTTTACTAGAAATTTTTTTCTCCTCCTCCAGCTACCTTTTGTGGAAGTATTAGAAATCAGGTATTGACCAGGAGACAAGAAAGGGGATCTTAGAAAGATCCAGAAGCCAAGTGGTCTAGACCCTAGGGCTGAATTCACCTATCTTTTTGTTAGTATTCATCTTCCCCCGCCCGCTCCGCACCAAAAAGAAATAAAACCAAAAACCCATTGTGTGTTGCCTAAAGTTTGATGCTCTCAGAATCACGTCAATTATGTTACGTATTATACTGTTCTTAGTTGGGATTAGTAAAACATGGACCTTAATCTTCAGTAGTGAATCACGCCCACCTCCTACAATTTAACCAGCACCTGCCAGTTGATCATTTAAAATCAATGCTTTGGTAAAACATTGTTTGTCTTTCCTACTATTGCATACTTAGTTAAAATTATGACATCCTGAGCAGATCTCTGGGGAAAAAGTATATAATAGATATGTTTTATAAGCAATTTTTAGATATTGTGATGTAATACTATTAAACTTGTCATGGGCATGGTTATTTTATTACTGTCATTTCAGACATGTCTTCTTATCTTTTAGAAGAAGAAAAACAACAGTTACTTACCTTGAGCCATTGACTAATTCTTTCATTGTAATAGAAGCCTTTAGAACCAATCAGTAACAAATTTTGCATTATTGCATTAATGTATTTTGAACAATTGAAAAAGTTAGCACATTTACTCTCATAGTTCCTGAAAGTTAAAAAAACTAAGAGTAAAAATTAGTATACAGGAGAAATGTTGAGCAAAATTTTATGTGATGTTAACAAATCAGGTATTTTTATCACAGGCACGGAGGCCTCTAGTCTTGACCTAACTGTGTCTTATGCAGTCTGGTGGGGTTTTTTTTTAGGATCATATTTTTCAGTTACATGTTTTTAAATTATCAAACTCTGAAAGATGGCAGAATCAGATCCGGGCTTGAATTTTAACTCTACCAATAACTGTCTATTCATGACTAATTTATTTAATCTCTCTGAGTTTCAGTTTCTTCATCTATGTGAAGAAATAATACCTATCTTCCCAGAGGCATTGTCTCCATTAAATGAGATGGTTGAGAAGTACTGGCGCAATGTCTGCACCTTGCTTGTTGCTCAGTCCACACACAGCAATTATAGAGCCAGTAGAAAGATAGTCTGTCCTCTACTTAGAATAAAGTCAGATCCCAGTGCTGCTTTGCAACTGACCAAAGGTCCTGAGGAACTTCTAGAATAGAATGGTTTGAGGTTGGCCCAGAGCTCATGACTGCTCTAAATTTGAGGATCTCATTCCATTCCAGGACCCTAATATAAAAAGATGATCTACTTTTCTACGCTTGATTTTTTTAAAAATTTCTTTGTGGTAGGTAAATATATCCCAGTTGAGAAGAGCAAAATTTATTTTTAACTTAAATTTTAAAGCTTTGAATATTCTCTTTAGTTTTTTGTTAATATGGTAAATTTCAGCTGAAATAGTACTACTTTAAAACTGTTTTCCATCAGTATTCACATGTTACTGGAATACAGGATAAAGTTTTTACTAGTTTAAATCAATCACACATACAAAAAAGAAATAATTAGCCAAATTTGTTTTCAGAATATGTTTTATAAATATGTTTATAACATACATATGTAAATATGTTTTGAATGCTTACTCTGTGCCAGCACTGTTCAAAAGGCTTTGTTTATATTAATGCTCATTTAACCACCCCATGAAGTAGATATTATTACTGATTCTATTTTATAGAATAAAGAAAGTGAGACACAGAGGAGTTAAGTAATTTGTTCCTAAGTTCACACAGCAGAGTGATAGAACAGTGGCTGTAATTCATTTATTATTAAAACATGCTAAGAGTTCATTTGGAGAGGAAAGAAGTGTTCTAGAGAGCTGAAATGTACATTGGTGTACCACCATACAGATCAGCAGAGACTTAGAGAAGAACTTTAACTACTGGGTTTTCAGTCTGTCTCTGGAATAATATATGTGTATTTATATCTGCTCAAGTGTAATACTGCCTGCTTCCAAGGGAGGAAACATATTTGTTAAGCATGTTACTTGTTTGTGGTCCCAGAAAATCAAATACATGATTTTTAGTAGGGACAAGAATTTTAAATTACTGTTTGTTCTTCGTAAGAAGGTATAAAAGCATATTAAATTTCTTTATTTGTATAGGTATAAATATGCAAAATTTCACCTAATGCATTGCCAAAGAACTTACAAAAATCCTGAATTCAAAATTCATGAGCAAAAATTGCTAGTTTATTTTATAACTTTTCAAATGGCATTCAAGAGCAATTGATTATCATTTAACTTCTTATATTATTTTTAGCATAATCTAGCTCAATATTGCCTAATAAAAATATTTAAAGAGCATTAATTATAGAAAGATATGGTGAGAAATGAAAAGAATTCATTCTACACCTAATTAGAAAACATTCTAGCAGCTGGTGTGGTTCACAGAGATTCATATTATGGAAGTCCTTTAAATGAACGATGTGTATGTTTTTATCAATTTGTTTTGCAGCGCAAGACTCATCAGTTTTTTGTCAAATCTTTTACTACTCCTACCAAATGTCATCAGTGTACCTCCTTGATGGTGGGCTTGATAAGACAAGGCTGTTCCTGTGAAGGTAAGAATTAAATGGTAAGAAAATGTGACTAATTTAATGTCCTGACATTTACTCCCTAAACTGTAATCAAACAGCTTTATTCTCTTTAAAATGTATATAAATGTTTATTTATTTGACTTAATCATTTGCTTTTCTTTGGATAATAAACTGAACACCTTGCTAAAGTCCGTTGAATATTGGAAACTAGACAGATGGTCCCTAGAAACACTTTCTAGGGGAGCTATATTTAAATATGTTTCATTCATCTTTGTTTCATCATTCAGGAGAATTTGTGGTCCCCAAAACCCATTAACCTGTATGACAAAATATGTGAAAGTTATTCTTGAATCTATTCATTTAATTTTACTCTTGTTTAGTTTATTAGAGAAATTATTATTAATAAGTAGACAATGAAGTATCTTTTCACAAATATTAAATGTCAGCTACTATGCCTCAAAAGATATTTTATTCCAAGTGTTAGTAGCAGAGGTTTTTCCCTACCATTCATTGATCCATCCATCACATGCTCGCAGAATGCCTGCTCTGTGCTTCTAGGCACTGGGGGTCAGGGTTCTATGTTCGGCTAGTTCTCACAAGCCAAGTGGAAGATCCTGATTGCATTATCTTAACTAGTCTCTTAGATGCATGGGTTTAGAGCAAAAGGAAATGGGCAGGCTTTAAAAGTAGAGATTTGAGAGTTATGAATGTGTGAAGTGATGAATATGAATGATGTTTTCCAGGAAACACATGTAGAGTGAAAAGAGAACAAGTATGAGGACAGAGCCTTGGGAAACATAGTTAAGGGGAGGTAAAAGGTAAAGATAACAAAGTAATCTGAGAAGGAATAGCCTCTATCATTGACTAGGGAGGTGTGTCTGAGCCCAACGGAGAGAATTTGCCTTGTCTCATTGTGCAACTTAGCCAGTACTTATAAATGTGACTTTTTAATCTGTTTATCAGAAAGAATCCTGGCAGCTGCTTGGCTTTAGGTCCCTTGTCATTTTTTATGAATCAGAATCATTTGCGGTTCCATAGTAGGAATGTTTGAGATCTTCCCAATTCTCTTCCCTTCTAAGGGTCTCCTGCCATGAAATTGGGCCGGTCTTTTCTTCAGACTGACTCTTTGCAGCCTACCAGCCTACCCTATAAAGCTGTGGGGACACATTGGACTATGCTCAGGCTTTCATAAATGTTGTATAATGTGGTTATAACCTCTAAAGATTCCTGTCATTTTAATTCTTCTTGGTTGAAATTAGATCCAGTATTGGACAATTATCTTATTGTTTCCATTGCCCCTTGGAAGAGAGATTTTTGCTTATTAAAGCAAATTGTAACTTGTTAGACACTCTACTTAGAAGTGAATGAGTTGTCTTACAGAAGATGAATCGTTTTTGACAGTCAGTACTAGTCCCTCTTGCCTCTCTGCTGGTTTTATATCCATTTGTGATATACAATCCATTTTCCCATGTGTATGTTCCCATGACGGTATCCCTTCAGTTCCTTTTTTATTCCTTCCCAGATATTCTCCAGGATCCCCCTGAGAGTAGGAATTGTCTAAATAGATATTCTTAGTCTGTAACCTCTCCCAACAAGCTTGTTTGTTTTAAATACTTTAACCTTTAATTCTCAACCAACCAAGTCTCAGTGGAAGAGAGTTTCTTTTTATTTATCATTTTGTCTTAGGATCTCAGGTTCATCATTTAAGTATCAAGAGGTATCATGGCAGTACTGTTGGTAGTTACGTATGCAGGCTCTGAGCAAGACTGCCTGGGTTTGAATCCCAGCAATGCCACTTAACAAGTTCTGTGACCCAGGGCCAGTCATACGTAAATGAGGATGATTTTACCTCTCTTAGATTACAGAAAAAATTAAAAACACTCAGTAAAGTTAACTACTATTATTATCTTAGTAGTAATTTACCTATATACAATAATATCAGTAACTCCTAAAATTTAAATTATACCTTCTTAATCATTGAACAATTTAAATTTCAAAAAGAGGGATTGGTAAAATTTGCCAGATATTGAAAAGATGTCAGGTAATTTAACATCCATCAGTGACTCTCGCAAGAGAGATTTCAGGTCAGATACCAAATTGCAGTGAGATGAAGAGTTAAAGAAAACTCCAGAAACTACTCTTTTAAGAATTCAATTTAAAACAGCTGTTTTATTTGCAAGGTTAGATTTTTTTTCCATCTATTTGCTTCTCATTTGGATCACTAGTGTTAACACAGAACAGTAATATTACATATTACAGTAATAAAAAAGTATTTACTATTTCTCACTGAAATTCTTACTGGTGAGCAAATGAATCAGCTCCCCAAATGACAAAAATATTGTCAAGTTGTTTAAAATAAAATCAGAGGTAAGCATTCATTTAACATGGCACTTAGCATGTAATGAGTGCTCAGTGAATTTTCTCTTTGTAAAAATGAATTTTTATTGAACACTGTTTCTTTTTTTCCCTCCAAAAGTGTGTGGATTTTCATGTCACATAACTTGTGTAAACAAAGCTCCAACTGCTTGTCCAGTTCCTCCTGAACAGACAAAGGGTCCCCTGGGTATAGATCCACAGAAAGGAATAGGAACGGCATATGAAGGGCATGTCAGGGTAAGTATGATTAGGTTGGGTTTAGATTAATCTTTTAAGGCTTATTAATGAATTAAAGAAAGTCACCTTACACACACGGTCCTTGACAGAAAATTAGGTGAATAAAATTCATCTAACAGTTTTACTTCATTCAGAGTAATGGTCTGAAAACAAAAACCTAGCTTTTGCTGAGAATAAATTCCAAAATGTCTCAAAATTTTCTGTACTGTGTCTGTATTATAATGAACAGATGTTGAAATCTCCATAAAGGAGTCTGGCTCTTCATCTTGCTGGATAGGTGGCATATGCTTATGAAGTATGAGATATTGTCAAGACATAATCTTACTTGTCATCTTGAATAATATTTAAAGTGTAAGCTGCTTTTCGTCCTACTACCAAATTTGGCTTTTATTCTACTTAGAAATCCATGAATGTTATTTTAATGAATCACTAGAGAAAATTAAAATGGTACCATTGAAGTTTTTTTCAGAATATAATGTCAATCAGTGTTTGAAGAATGTGTTATCACACTTTCTCATGTTATTAATGATGTGTATGTACCGTCTGCTACTTTACCAAACACAGTGGCAGACGTACAACACGTGCACACTGTCTTTAGGTTTTCATCATGCAGTTACATGTGTAATTAAAGGGGCTCTGACTGACATTTCAGTTTAGGTTGTTTTGTTTGTTTGTTTGTTTGCCTGTCTAAGATCCCTAAGCCAGCTGGAGTGAAGAAAGGATGGCAGAGAGCACTGGCTGTAGTTTGTGATTTCAAACTCTTTCTGTATGATATTGCTGAAGGAAAAGCTTCTCAGCCCAGTGTCGTAGTCAGTCAGGTGATTGACATGAGGTAAGTTTGTGAAGGTGAAAATATTTGTATCTTTGCAACATAGGAATGAAAAGTGTGTGATTTTTCTTCTAATTGCATTGCCATGTTTTTATTTAAATCTAATTTAATGTTAATTTTCTCATTTACTAATATTGCAATTGTAACATAATTAAAAATATGAAGTAAGGTGTAGTTATAGAAAAGGTTGATGTGTGTTGGGTCAGGGAGAAGAAGCTAATGTTTGAAACCAAAAGACCAGTTTAAAGGTTGCTGGGGTACTGGAGTCTAATGTGTGTAATGTTCATATCATCACCTAAAGTAAAGGCTTAGGTATAATTCCAATGTGAGGAAAGGAAATAAAAATCTCAAAATCGTACAGGCTCTTGGAATATAAAGTGAATCAGTGAACATTTAAGTATACCGCTTGAATGTTTCTAGTTTCATTTTTGAGACTCTTCCCCTGCCCCTTGGGGTGCTCTGCTTACCCTCTTCTCGTGACTCCCTTAACGCTCTCCCTCAGTGATCTTATTGACTGCCATAGCTTCAGCCATCACCTCTGTGTTGACGACTCCCGGACATATGTCTCCAGTCCAGGTCTTTCTCCAGTGCTCAAAACTAGAATTTCTAGCTCTGGCTCACATTGGCACTTTATACCAGCATTTCAAACACATTATCTTCCCCACAAATATGGAATATAAAGGAACAGATGCAAGAAATACTAGAATATCAGCAAGGAAAATTTGACAGAACCTCCTAAGGGAGAAGAATCAAAGATAAGACTAAGAGGTCAAGTCTTCAAGACCAAGAGAATGATGGTACCAATAACCAAATTAAGGAAGTCACAAGGAATAAATTGTTGTGGAGGAAATCTGTCTCAGGTGTTGAAGGAACAGTAAAATGTCAGATGAGCTGTGTTGAAGGCACTTGAGATGTATTATGAGAGGAAAGAGGGTGCAGTCTACTGGAGACCCTGGAGACCTACCAGGGTTCGACTCCATCTGTACTTACTGGCCTTTTGACTCCGAGTAATCCAGAAATGATTTCTAACTCTTGTATAATGTGGCACTGTTAAATTACACTTGATAAATTACTTTTGGCACTATCAATTTACAAAGGGAGAAAATTCAAAATTTTTTAAAATTTAATTTGGATGTTTTCTGTAATTAAATTTTAAGGATTGCTTCATATGTGTTATTTGGATACATGCCTAAAACCACACACACATACCCACATACACTGACTTTTACTGTTTCCATTGACTTTTAACTTTTCCTTCAGGGATGAAGAATTTTCTGTGAGTTCAGTCTTGGCTTCTGATGTTATTCACGCAAGTCGAAAAGACATACCCTGTATATTTAGAGTAAGTATGTGTGCTGTAATTTGATCACTGAATTATTCGCTTTTTATGAGTATACGTTTTGCCTTTCTATATAGATCACAAACTTATTTGGAATAGAACCAAATCTTATAGACAATTTGTGCTAAGTAAATATTTAATTAGTCAAAGACCAATAGAAAGCATGAATAGGGCTTTGCTCGTGGCGCAGCAGTTAAGAATCCTCCTGCCAATGCAGGGGACATGGGTTCGAGCCCTGGTCTGGGAAGATCCCACATGCCACGTAGCAGCAAAGCCTGTGCACCACAACTACTGAGCCTGCGTTCTAGAGCCCGTGAGCCACAACTACTGAGCCCGCGTGCCACAACTACTGAAGTCCGTGCGCCTAGAGCCTGTGCTCCACAACAAGAGAAGCCACCGCAATGAGAAGCCCGCGCACTGCAATGAAGATTAACCCCAGCTCGCTGCAACTACAGAAAGCCTGCGCGCAGCAACAAAGACCCAACGCAGCCAAAAATAAAATAAATTTTTAAAAAAAGAAAGAAAGCATGAATATATGGCTTCTAAAATAGATTTCCTCTTGGATAATATTTTTGAGTCACAATTCAATTTTCAGATAAGCGCTACAACATGAAAAAATGAATAAGCATGAGATTTCTCAATTTTTAAAAAAATAGAAGTTTCTTTAAGATCGCATTTAAAAAGTTAGTATGTTTCAGTTCTATTGCTTTGTAATAACCACTCCAAAACTTAGTGGCTTAAGCCAACAGTGGTTTATTTTTCACCATTCTGTGGGTCAGTCCTTCAGGTGTACAGTTCTGGTGTCAACTGGGGGCACTCGTGTGACTGCATTCAGCTCATTTGGAGCAGGAATATCCAAAATGACCTTACTCTCACGTCTGGGGCCTTGGTGCCGGCTGTTCGCCTTGGTACTTGGCTGGTCACTGGGCCACCTCAGTTCTCTGTATGAACCCTCTCCACGTGGTCTCTAATCATCCACTAGTCTGGCTGAGCTCTCCATGACCGACTTCCAAGAGAGCAGAGGAAGCTGCCAGGCCTTTTAAGGACTAGGCTCAAAACAGGCATAATAACCCTTCTCCATTCTGTTGGCCAAAGCAAGTCATGAGGTCAGCCCGGATTTAAGAGAAGGGGAAATAGACTGCATTTCTTGATAAGAAGAGTGGGATTCCAGAGAAGAATTGTTGGTAGCCATCTTTGGAGGCTGTCTAATACAGGGCCATCTCGAATTGGTGAATTAAGGTAATAGAGGTTAATAAAAAGGGCTGTTGCCTTAATGGTGTGCCTATATGCTTTGTATTTGTCTATGAATCTTGTATATGAGGAAGGTCAAACAAAGACCATACTTAGTCTTTCAGTTCCTAGACCAACAGCTATTCTCTCACCAGTACCAAGGGATCCTACAGAGGCCCACTTATCTTAACTGATTCTAATTGTGGGATTTTATTGTCACTGCTGCTTAAATTACTTTTAATAAAGGATCCATGTATACATAATTCAATTCTGTTCTGATTATAGTGTCATTGTATAATTTTAAACCTTCATTTAAATACTAGCTCAAGTGATCTGGTCTTTCCCTGAGATGAGTTATTGTTATGAAGTAATAGAGAATCTTAAGTACTTCTGAGTATTTTTGACTTTTTTAAAACAAGTTGAAAATCAGTACAGTGTAGGGCTTACAAGCGTGGACACAGGATTCCAGTCTAGTTGTGTGTCCTTGGAGAAATTAATTTATCTGCATCACAGTTTTTTTCATATATAAAATCAGAATATAATAACAATACCTACCTTGTAAAGATGTTGATAGAGTTAAATGAGTTAATACTTACAAAGTGCTTTGATCAGTGCCCAGTAATCACTCAATAAATGTCAGTTGCTGTTGTTATATGACTGTGTGTAATGGATTTTTTAGTGATAGTATTCTGGCACTTTGCAGCAAAGAAAATACAAATGACACTAACATTTAGAACGGTATCTACTACCTTTGTCATGAATTCTAATGCTAAAACTATTCTTCTGATTATGAATAGCTAAACTCTGTTAAAGGTATCAATTAATGAATGCTCATTTTGTTGGCTAGTGCTAAGCGAACTAGCATCAGTATAAAACTGGCTTAAAAGGTATCTGTTTGCTGATGCCATGAATTTTGATTAAATTGTTCTAGGTCACAGCTTCCCAGCTCTCAGCGTCTAATAACAAATGTTCAATCCTGATGCTAGCGGATAGTGAGAATGAGAAGAGTAAATGGGTGGGAGTGCTGAGTGAATTGCACAAGATTTTGAAGAAAAACAAATTCAGAGACCGCTCAGTGTATGTTCCCAAAGAGGCTTATGACAGCACTCTTCCCCTCATTAAAACGACCCAGGCAGCTGCAATCATAGGTATGAATTCATAACATTTATCTTGTTATAATTGTTTACTAATATACCTTGTCAGCAGGGACTGGTTTTCATCTAGGAATCCCGGTGTCTAACATTGTATGTGTTATATCACAGATGCTCAGTAAATGTTTATTGAATGCATGAGACCATATTAGAACTTTATTTTTCAGTAAACAAGAATAAGTATACTTTTCAAATGTATTTTCTTCTGAAAAAGCAACAATGCTGAAGATTAACCTATTAACGAATCGATTTTCTGCTTGTGTGACTTAGAAAAAGTTGTTTAAAGCATAAGCCGTTTCCTAAAGCATAAGTTTCCTATGTAAAATGTAGGTACTAATTACCTTGCAAAGGTTACTGTGAAGTTTAAATAAGATGGAATGTGTAACACAGAGTGTTCCATATATAATATGCCGTCAAAAATGGCAGCTTTTCTGTCTGGAGGGTTAAATTTTTGCTATATTCTTATGTACACTGCCCACTCTTTTGTTACTTTCTAGTAAATAATGAAAAGTTTGATGCGTAGGGTTCAAATGCCTTGCACAGTTTTTCCCTCCCCAAACAAGAAATGGAACTGGACACAGGGTGCTAACAAACTAGGGGTTTTTTTCTTTCACCTTTTATTGAATAAACATTTATATCTTTTTATAAGCATTGATATAAATTATTTTCTAATGATTGTTCTGTTAAAAAAAGATATATCTTTTTATAAGCATTGATATAAATTATTTTCTAATGATTGTTCTATTAAAAAAAGACACGAGATAATATTTACCACAGTAATCTGAAAGGAAATTTAATAGTGCAAATTGTTATTGCTATTTTTTAATTGTTTATTTATTTGGTTTTTTGTACCAAATTTCTTTTGTTATCTGTTTTATTCTATGAATTTACATAGTTTCTACCTAATAAAAATACTTCATATTTATGTCTTATATAGATCATGAAAGAATAGCTTTGGGGAATGAAGAAGGGTTATTTGTTGTGCATGTCACCAAAGACGGTAAGAGAAAATTATTTTGGAGAAAATAGTATTGATAGAGTATTCTAACCTACAGATTCTGAATTCTAAAAAGAGCAGGATTTGCTCTTATTTATTCTATAATTGAAATTTTCCAGGCCTAATTGGATACGTTTATAAGTCAAAAGATAATTTTTTAATTTTTATAATCCATCTGAGTTCTAAAACTTCCATGTGTATTGTCTTTCTTGTGTCATTTTATTTACAGTTCTGCTGTGTGAACTCAGATTGCATTTCTAAAGATGGTCCATGAAAGAAAAATGCAACTTGATTTTTTTCATAGTTCTAACAGTACTAGGAGTGGTAACAGTCATTAAAATGTGTTTGTTGTTGGGGTCTTTTATCCCACAGTTTAACACAACAGATTTCTTTTCAGGGAGAAATTAAATACTGGTGAAATAAAAAGGAACCCATTTGACTTAGCATTCTTGAATACAGTGTTCTAAGTTCTGTCTTTATATCAAGTTAGATCATGGGAAAACAATGCATTTAAACTTCATTAATTTGTTACCCAAAGAAATACCTTTAGTGAAACAAGAGTTACTCAGTTTTTAAAAATAGTAACCCCATGGTAAACTCCCCTAGGATTTGGTGAGAATAAAGAGGTTTTTCTTAAAGATCTGGCATGCTTTATCACATAGGAACTCTTTGCCATGGCTGCCAGAAATCTCAGTGCTAAATTTAATACCTTACTATAGATAGGTTAAATTATCTTATAATGGGTGTAATTACCTTCATCTTTCTCCATATGATTTCTGATCTCTCATTTTTTCTGTGTGTATCTCTGTCTTTATTATAAGTTGACATATTCTTTTGAGTATAATTGGGATATAATTAATAGGTAAACAAAATATTTTGCAGTTGATTTATTATTGTTTCTTTGCATAGAAATTATTAGAGTTGGTGACAATAAGAAGATTCATCAGATTGAACTCATTCCAAATGATCAGCTTGTCGCTGTGATCTCAGGACGAAATCGTCATGTACGACTTTTTCCTATGTCAGCTTTGGATGGGCGAGAGACTGATTTTTATAAATTGGCAGAAACTAAAGGGTGTCAAACCATAACTTCTGGAAAAGTACGTCATGGAGCTCTTACATGCCTGTGTGTGGCTATGAAAAGGCAGGTCCTCTGTTATGAACTATTTCAGAGCAAGACCCGTCACAGAAAATTTAAGGAAATTCAAGTCCCATATAATGTCCAGTGGATGGCAATCTTCAGTGAACAACTCTGTGTGGGATTCCAGTCTGGATTTCTAAGATACCCCCTGAATGGAGAAGGAAGTCCATACAGTATGCTCCATTCAAATGACCATACACTCTCATTTATTGCACATCAACCAATGGATGCCATCTGTGCAGTTGAAATCTCCAGTAAAGAATATCTGCTGTGTTTTAACAGCATTGGGATATATACTGACTGTCAGGGCCGAAGATCTAGACAACAGGAATTGATGTGGCCAGCAAATCCTTCCTCTTGTTGTAAGATTCTCTTACTTTTCGCTGTCTTATCTTGCTGTTTCTTTCTTTTTCCTTCTCCTCCATCTCCTTTATGTATTCATTGTTAATAACAGGTTGTTTTTTAAGTCATCTTTGAGGTTTTTCCTAAGCATCAAGTATGTTTTATGTAAAGTAACTAACCATATGTAGTTAAGACCTAGGCCAATGGGGTCAACATTAACAGGAACATAATTAAAGCTAATCTTCTATGCAATGTTTTACTTAGATAGATTTTTAACACATATTATTGTATTTTGAAATAACCCTAAGGAGTTATCTTCATGGTCCCCCCGAATATAGTGCTTGTGAGCACTAATAGCTCATAGGACTTATTCTAGAGAAGTGGTTACCTAGTGAATTATTCAATCAGTTATGTGAAGGTATGATGTAGCATTTGAAAAGTTACTCACTTTTACATTTTTATCTAGGTAGGTAGATACGTTCAAGAAACATTAAGATATTAATAAATTATTGAATACTTATTATGTGTCATTTTACTGTAAGAGATATAACATTGAGCAAAATAGACAGTCTTACCCTCACAGAGCATGAATGCAGTCGAATGGATTCCTGACAAAACAAGTTGCAGTAGAATATAAGTGCTCTGACAGCAGAAGTACAGAGTTCCGTAGAGGCATGTAGGAGGAATATCTAATCCAACACATTTTGTTTTTAGTGGAAGATACTTTGAGCATGTTTAAATGCCGAAGGGGGATAGCCACTAGGGAGCCAGGGAAAGGTTGATGACTATATGATAAATACAGGAAATAGAGTAAGATCCCCAAGAGGCCAAAAAGGATGGAAGTCAGAATATAGGGGAAAGGATTTGGAACAGGAGGAGTAAAACCTCTTCCACTGCAACAAGATAGGAAGAATGGTGGGTATGTGTATAGTCAAGTTTAAAAGTTCAATATAAGAAAGTTTAGGAGAGCCATATGTACTTATTACAGAAAAATTAGAAAATCTAGATCAAAAGAAAAATACATATACCTACCCAGACTTAACTATTCTTGATGTTTTGTTTCTTCTGAAATTTATACTCTTATCTATGGCATCATATTTAGAATGAATCCTAGTCAGAAAATAATTCAAAGTATTATGTGAATTGTACAGTGTTAATTGGAATTAGAATAAGAATTAGAATATCTAGCTTTTATGAATAGCTCTGCCAAAAATTTAATTCATGACCTTAGCTTGGGTAAATCATTTAATCTTTCTTTGCTTGTGTCACCATTTATTGATGTTCGTTCTTTCAGTAAATATATATTGAGCATCTCCTGTGCCAGATGCTTTATCATACTTTGATAAATGTGACCATAACTCTTACCTGAAGATTTCTCTACTTCGTAAGTTGTTTCACTGTCAAGAGCTTAACTACTTTAGGAATCGGTTATTTAAAATGTAATGAAATTCCTTTATAGAACTAGTATGGGGCAAGGGAATAATATACTCTTGGTGTTAACAGACTCCTTCTGTATTATAATGGCCTTAAAACCTCTTCATTTATGATTTACGGGGTTTTTTTTAACTTCAAAAATGTATTGATGTGGCTACTGTATGTTAACAGTAGGATTTTGGTGGGATTCCACTCTACACTTCTTTAGCATAGATCTTTCAAAATGTTTTGGGTTTAGCAGTTAAAAGTAACCAGCCAGCTGTTCTCTCCTTCCCATCTCCCAGGTTACAATGCACCGTATCTCTCAGTGTATAGTGAAAATGCAGTTGATATCTTTGATGTGAACTCCATGGAATGGATTCAGACTCTCCCACTCAAAAAGGTAATTTAACATTAAAAAATGGGCTAAGTGAACAAATGATTATAAGTGAAACACTAATATGACTATTTAGCTAGTTTTCACTAGTTTAGCATTTTCTGTCACATGTAATAACATAATTGGTAATCTGGGACTTAGCTAAGAGTAGGAAAAAAAGAAAAATCAAGCTGGTTAATTTTACAGGTAGCTCAGCACCGTATTATTTTTATTACATTTTGTTTCACTGTATAACGTATGATTATTATAATAATGAACAACTAGAATATATTCTACAACTTAATATGTCAGTGTTATCTTCCACTTTAGTTTAAGGAGCTCTGAAGGAGTATATTATTTGTAATTTTACTGTTTTTCACATAATGGTATGCAATTTTAATCCTTGAGGGCATATTTCATGGGCTAGAAAAGTGATTAAAATTAGAACCAATGCTCTGTATAAGCATCTCATGATTAAAAAATAAGGGTTTCGCACATTCCTAATAAAATATAATATTTTCCTTTAACATTTCCCTGTGGTAACATAAAGAGAATTTTTACGAGTATAGAATGGCTGTTTTGCAACAATGAAGAATAATAGTTTCATGTAAGTATATGCAGCGTGTGTCATTAGTTGCAGGGCAGGGTTTAGAGGAATGGGTAAAAGAAAGTAACCAAGATCTTATTTCAAAATCTGCCCCAATTTTAAACCATAACAGCAGTGGGAAAAGCTCTTGTAAATGCTGCCACATTTTATAAAACAACTAAATACGGTCCTCGCGTTTATAACTTCGGGCTGGTTACAGTTAGTTTTCCCTTTTATGTTTATCATGTGAATTTTGAAGTATATATAAAAGAATATATGATCTTTATGAAGCATAATAATAAACTGATCACTTATGAACTCACCTGCTAACTTAAGAGCCAGAACATTACCAATTTCACTGAATCTGCTTGTGTATTTTTCCCTTACCCTGATTATTGTGTTTATGATTCCCTTGCTTTTCTTAAAATACAGAATTTTTTGTATATTTAAATATTTCTAAATAATATATTGTTCAGTTTTGCTTATGTTTGAGATAATAAAATGTTATGTTGTATATCATCTTCTGCCTTGCTATCTTAATGTATTTACTGTTTCTAAGATTCATCCATGTTACATGTACTATTATATATATGTGTACACACACACATATATATATATTTCATTGCTTTTCACTACTGTAAAATATTCTGTTGGGTGAATAGATCACAATTTATTTGTCTGATTAGCAGACATGTGAATTATTTCCCAGCTTTCTGCTATTATGAACGTTGCTGTAGAAGTCATATATGTCTTCAGGTGCGTATGTGCAGGAGTTTCTTTTACGTCATATGCCTAGGAACGAAACTGATGGGACGTGGAGAATGCACGTGTTCAACTTTACAAGATAGTGTCAAAGTATTTTCCAAAGTAATTGTACCAGTTGACACTCCCATCATCAGTATATAAGAGTTCTTTATGACCCATACCGTTGTCAGAATTCATAGTTTTATAACCATTTATTTATGGTGATAAAGTGATATCTCATTGACGTGTTCATTTGCATGTCCCCAATTAACAATGTTGCTGATAATCTTTTGTATGTTTATTCATCGTTCATATTTCCTCTTCTGTGAAATACCTGGTCATGTTTTTTGCTTATTTTCCTGTTTGGTCATCTTTTGATTTTTTGAGATTATTCATATATGGTAGATACTGGTTTAGTGATGGGTGTGGTGAATCTTTTCCCTGTTTGTGACCTGTTAATTTTTATAGTGTATTTTGTGAACATTTGTTGTTATTGCTTGAAAATTCATTGTTATAAATTTTAATGTAATATCATTCTTATCCTTTTTACATTTCTCTTTTTTTTCTTAAGAAGCTCTTTCCTACCTCAAGGTCATAAAGATAGGATCTTTATTTTCTTTCAAAAGTTTGAAAGTTTTGCCTACTGTGTTTATGTCTCTGTTCCATTTAGAATTGACTTTTTGTGTATGGTGTGAAGTAGGAATTCAGTTTCATTTGTTCCATAGAGATACCCAGTTGCTCCATCACCATTTATTGACAGTCCCTCCTTTCCCCAGTGATGTACAATTTCATCTCTGTCATGTGTGTACATTTAGTTCAAATAAGATTCATAAAGTAGCTGTATGAATATTTTAGTATCATCGTCTGGTACTAATGGCTTTAAAAAGTCAAATTTAAGGTTTAAATGTATTTCTGCTTTTCTTTTTTTGCCCAGAATATTCTTCCTTTAAAACATTATCATTATAACTGTGTTAATTCAAGTTAGATAATTCTATACCTTTCTAGTCAGAATTGTTGATTTCCTTCCTAAAGAGGAAGGATAAATTAAAGGTCTTAATAGTGTGTGCCTTATAAATATCTCAAAAGTTTTATGATTTAATTTTTGAATTTTGTTGAAATACTAATTTTATTTTTTATTATTTTAGGTTCGACCCTTAAACAGTGAAGGATCATTAAATCTTTTAGGGTTGGAGACGATTAGATTAATATATTTCAAAAATAAGATGGCAGGTAAGAAAATACACATTAGTAGGAGAGCTTCATAGAAGTATTCAGGTGTATCTTACTCCAAAGTCTGTATAGGGGTATTCATAAATTTATGATCTTTTCTGGTGGATCTAGTTGATGAAGATGTAATTATGGTACATTATGTATTTAGAATAATGTTTTGACTTAAATGTAAGTAAAAACATTGGCATTAAGAAAACACATTAAAATGTTTACATCAGTTATCTCTGGGTAGTGGGATTATTATATTCCTTATGCTTTTCTTTTTTCCCCCATATTCTTCCAATAAATTTGTATAGTCTATCAAAAAAAATTCCATCAAAGGTTTGTCATTTTTGTTTTGTTTGTTTTTAAGTACTAAGATACATACAAATTGCTTGGCTTCAGATTTGATGCTCTGGTATATCCTCTTGGCACTGGAGGCTTCTTGGTATACAGACTGGTGACTGTAGGAGAAGTCCTATGCTAAGAGGATATTGCAGTATGACTTGAGAAAGGATATTCAGGTATTAGACAAGATTAGATCCACCCTCTTCTCACTGTATGTAATGATTGTAGAATGTATCCGTAACCCAATTTGTCTCTATAGGATAAAACCTATTCCAACTCTCTTTTTTTATGCTCTCATCTTTCTACTCTAGGCTAGGAGTAAAGGTGGAGCTAGGAGAAGGAATACCTGACAAAATTTCAACATAGTTGTCTTATCTTTTGAAAAGGAAAGGAAATCCTATTTCCTGGAGATTCTATTTCTCTGTCTTGTCTGTTTCTCTTTCATCTCTCAGGAGCCCAAAGTGCTCTTGCAGTCCTCTGGCTGTCCAAAATCTCCCGTTGCCACTGCAACTCACCAAGATCTGCTTCACCCTCATAATTCTCAAATTCCAACTCTCAAATTCTCATCTACTTTTAAAATTTTATCCTTTTAACATTTGCTGTTAGGAAAGCAATCTGATAAAGCTATTACTGTGATACAAGGAGAATGTTGCTTTTTTTTTACTATTCATCTTGCTTTGGCTGGCCTTACAGGCTCCTTTGGCTTCTTCCTACTACATTTTTCTCATTTTAGCTTTTTGGGTGTTATAAACTTCTAAAGATTGGCTTTTCTCTTTTTCCTTACCTTATTTAGAGAATGGAATTCATCATGTTGTATGGATACAGTTTTCTGTTTTAGAGGATGTTCACCATATCCCAGCATGTTTTGGGAGCCCATGGCTAAGAGTTTTGTTTACTTCTAGGTATTAAAATTGAGATAGATGGGCATTAGGTGACTGGATGTACATAAGTAAGTATCCCCTGAAGATCAGGAGAGTAGAAATAGCAATAAGATTCTTACTTTTAGTAAAGGAAGCTGGAAGAAACACAATTCCTTTCCTTTACTCCACATCTTGCTAATTGGATCTGCAAAGGACATGTTTTAATATATTAAAAAAATCTTAACTGGTATCATTTTCATGGATAATTTACCATTTATGCCTGATTACTGTGCAGGTCAACAATAAGAGCTTTTTAACACCCTAAGCCATTGAAACCAATACTGGGAAGGTGGGAGAAGATGGTGTAGAGATATTGGGGGTGGGGTGGCCAAAGTGATAGGACACCAAGGCAACTACGTTTTCCTTTTTTTCTTCTAGTAAAATTGTACCATTTTATGTTTATAATCAAATAAAGGTGAAAATATACTCTGTAAGCTATATTTAATTTCAGCATATATTTGTTTACATATATTTCATTGAAAATTATTATTTACTATGATTTATCAGCACAACTTAAAAAAATCAGAATTGCATATACTTGTATAATTGATTGATGTTTGTACCGACTTGGAGATTAATGGGTGAAAAGCATTTTAGCACTTTAAAGAACATCATTGTTCTTTGTATTTTTTTTTTCCTAACAGAAGGGGATGAACTGGTAGTTCCTGAAACATCAGATAATAGTCGGAAACAAATGGTTAGAAATATTAACAATAAGAGGCGTTATTCCTTCAGAGTTCCAGAAGAGGAAAGGATGCAACAAAGGAGGTAGATATTTAATTCATACTCATCTAAAGATGCTTATAGCATCAGAAGGACTATTTGGTAATAATACTTTATTTGATTTGGAAGGAAAATTTGATCTCTGAAAGTCTGTCATCATCATCTATGGTGTTAAAAACTGCAATAATGAATGTATTTCTCAGTGTAATTTTAATTAATACTTCCCAAGTTGTGAGTATGTACTAGATTAAAGTACCATGTTTTGATTCATTTCTCTTTGTATATGGAATAGTTACAATTTTTAGAATGTGGGCTTTTATAAACATAGAACATACCTGTGCAGATTAACTATTCTCATGACCAAACAGAAATAGGCTTGTAGTGTTTCCAGTTACATATAAAAACATTTCTAATATATTAGCAATTATTTTAAAAGATGTACATAAAATGTTCAGAATTATCTGTAAAATAGAGCTTCTTTGATATTTAAACACTAAAATAACCCTCTGTTTTCCCACCAAAAATCATAAGATCTTTTTTAAAATTTAAAACAAAATCTTCTAAGTAAATGTTTAACTTAGTATATTCTATTATTTTAATTCTATCCTTATTAACATGATTTCACAGTTTATTTTTATGAAAAAATTTAAGTATACTTAATTTTTCTCTGAAATTGTCTAGATTGGTCATGGAATAAAAGTGTTTAAACAGGTGTTTTCTCTTACAGGGAGATGCTGCGAGATCCAGAAATGAGAAATAAATTAATTTCCAACCCAACTAATTTTAACCACATAGCACACATGGGTCCAGGAGATGGAATACAGATTCTAAAAGACCTGCCCATGGTAAGAGAAATGAAGAGTGAATGTGAATATAAATGGGGTTAATACTAAGTTGGAGGGGGGAGGGGGTGGATACATATGAGTGTGTGTGTGTGTGTGCACTTAAATACATATAAGACTTAAAAAGACATATTAGTATAATGAGGAAATGTTTATCTCAATATATCACAATATATGTAAGATGCATAATGACATAGCTGATGAGAAAAACATAAAATACAGATGTGTATCAAAAACCAAACATATCAAGTTTTTATTTAGTTGAATACCCTATATACTTCTCCCATACCTAGATTTACTATTGTTGGAGAAATGAACCACCAGGTTTGGAGACATTCTATACCAAGATTCAGAGCTAAAATTTCACTAAGTTTTAGCAATTCAACACAGATATTTGTCCCCCAAAGAACCACATTAGCTTGATCATTAATGGTCACACCTCTCATCTGATTATGAAATTAAATCTTTTTCCTCTGCCCATTACAGATGTGTTGCCTAGTCAGTCTTATATTTTAAAAAAAGTACAACATAGGAAAACTGTTGTGTTTTGTTTTGTTTTTTTTTAACAACGTGAAGATTGGATTCTTGGACCTGATATACTGAGATTAAGAACATTAGTGGAATGAGCTAATTTCCAAGCGCTGTAACATTTCAGTAGCATGGTACTCTCAACAAACTGTTGAAACTTAAACATGACTCTTTTGATAGGTGGCGATAGCATCTAGATTTTGCTCAGAATTTTAGGCATAATTTAAATGCTATGATAGTTTGGGAGGTGATATGTAAATCTCAACCCAAAGCTCTTTCTAAGGAAGTCTGTGTTAATTACCCACATTACTTAACTCTACTGTGATAGAAGATATAGACATGTATCACTGACAGAAAAAATAATAGGTAATACAGTTTGTACAGTCAAGTTTTTTTAATAAAAAAGTTCAGCTCTTAAAGGTAGTTTTTGCATTTCTTTCATAGGAGAAACCAAAAAAATCTGCACTAATTTGAGCCTGAGTTCCACATTATAAATATCTCAATTAACCAGTTGCCCTGTTTATGAATGGATGTGATGTTCTTACTGTCATTGTTTTTTCATCCTCATCAAGACATTATTATATGATTATAGTACCATTACTTCCTTTCAAATCATTCACAATAGTCAGATGGCGATTTTTATTAGCCGTGCTAGGTAGATATAAATAAAGTATGCAGAAAGATTACAGCCAATCTTGATATAGTAATTAAAATGAAGTAAGAAATTTAAGGCTGAGCATAAATATTAAGCTGAAAATATTGAGAATAAATAAAGGCTGAGTTGACATGGTTAACTGTTATACTTATCTGTCATATCTAAAAGCTATACTACTTTTACAGCTTTTGCCTGGGAATGAGAGTTCAGATTTTTCTCCATTCTTTTCCCATTCTGAACGTTTACTTAAGTCCTCAGACTGGTTTTCCTTTATTCTCAGAGGTAAACGGAGCAGAACCACATGGTCCAAAAGCTTCTGTCATTTTTCCTTACAGAAGCTACAAGGTCAGGGCAGGTACAAAGTACCTGAGGAAAGAGAATTTTTTAATTATGATAAACAGTTGAAACGTGAATATATGTATAGCTTATATTTGATAGATCAGTGTGAAATTTTTTGAAATTTAGTTAGTAAATAGTTTTTCAACATCTGCTGTGTAGGTAGCATTATGGAGGGATAGAGGCATACAAATTTCAAACACATCCATATGTTGCAAAGCAACATATCAGCAAATACAAAATTATTTCAGTAGTGAACAAGGTTTTAATGTGTATTATCCTTTTAAAATTAAACTTTCTTTCACACTTGCTTCATTCTGGTATACAAAAAAAGAATAGTACGGTGTTCCTCTCATATATTCCAATAACATAGCAAGAAGAATTATGGAAAATTGTTGTATAAATTATGTTATATCCCACAGTTTGTTCCTTAAGGAGAAATAGTTTCAGGATTTAATAAAATGTTCCTCTGCTTGACCAGGTGAAAAATCAGTTTGCTAATGTTCCAGAATTTTTTTCAGACCTTCATTCACAGTAAGACTTGGTCTTTCTACACCCTGAATGAGCACACTGAAGCAAAATGTGAAATTTCAAGCGTTGTAAGAACTTTCATATCCTAGCATCCCTCCTTTTCTCCCTTCACCATCCCACCACTTAAACGAAATCTCTGTTTTGTCATTGTTGTTGTTCAGAATAAGGTCCATTCTTAATTACTGGGCAAAACAAGTTCAGATAGCATTTCCCAAAGATTCAACATCAATCTGACCCCATGACACAGGGCCTCCTGTGCTGGCTACTTATTCCCATTAGACCTCTTGATTTTTAGTATTAGTGTCACTGATTTTGTTAACCCATGACTGCCTTGCTGGTTCTTTTTGTAATTAACACAAGTGACTCTTTACCCTAGAGGTGCAATCCAGTTTTTAATGTTCCTTTCATTCCTTTCATGTTTTCTTATCACATAAGCACTTTTGAATGTCCAGGACAAGAAGTTGGTGTAAATTTTTGAAACCTGTTCACCTGTACGTGTAATATTGTAGCAAAGATGTTACGTGTCTGAACTCCTGTTCTTTATTTTCACCTGACTTTCTTCCTTTCACTAGCAAAGAACATAAAAGCTGGGGGTTTTCATAGGCATCCATTTAATCACTTAACAAATATTTTTCGATATACTGTCATGCCAGAACTGTACCTACCTTGGAGTAGACACTGGTAAATGACACAATAATATGCATGTCTGAAAAGCAAATAATATACATGTCTGTACCTGTGTGTGTGTGTGTGTGTGTATGTGTGTATACATGTATTAAAAAGCTTGTGATATTTTAATATAGTCTCAGATTTTAGTATGTTCTTTCCACTGTAATTTTCTATATTTAATGAACTATTTTCAAAAATGAAGATGAATTTAATTCATCTAACATTAACATTTATAAGAAGCACTTTCAAATACCAAAGCTATGATGTTGTCATTCGTGCAAAGAGCATGTGCCCCAGAAATTTTTATGTTTAACTTATTCAAATCAGTATTGCCTTTCTCTGAAATACTTAAAAGCTTAGAGAGTTTATTGAATGTCTTTGGAAGCTTATTCTGTTTCCTTTGTACCAAAATGATGCTGAAAAGGGTTGTTTGCCTCATGAATGTGGAAAAGATAGTAAGGGTAAGGAGTCATTTTTTTCTTATATCTCCTATATCAGATGTGTCTTAGTGAGCCAAGAGAATATAGGCAGTTAATATAAAACAGCACATATGTCTTACAAGTACATACTGTAGTAGTTTCCTTGAATCCTTTTTGTCATTTACCTTTTTTCATAAGCAGGTACTGTAATAAAGAATAGATTTGTCTCTAGTTGAATACAAGAGTAATATTTTATCTCTAAAAGATTTATTTTTTTTAGCACATAAAATTTCTCCTAGCCTTTTACCCATTCCTAAAATTGTTAACAAATAAAATTTCAAGCTCGGTGACCTTTTAGACCTTTATGAAGTAATTTTACTTCTTAAAGTTACATTTATATCAATAGTTTTATCTTTTTGAAAAAAACCTTAGAAAGTACTGGTTTCACTCACATCTCTAAATTTAAAACACCTTATATAGAAGCCTTTCTTTTAAGCTTCCCTAATTTACCAGATTTTTTTTTTTTTTTTTTTTTTTTGTGGTACGCGGGCCTCTCACTGTTGTGGCCTCTCCCGTTGCGGAGCACAGGCTCCGGATGTGCAGGCTCAGCGGCCATGGCTCACGGGCCTAGCTGCTCCATGGCATGTGGGATCTTCCCAGACCGGGGCACGAACCTGTGTCCCCTGCATCGGCAGGTGGACTCTCAACCACTGCGCCACCAGGGAAGCCTAAGATTTTTTTTTTTAACAAAGAAAGCTCATCTCAGCTCATGAGAATATCAGTCAGCGTGTCTCCGGGAAGTCATTCAGCCTGTCTCTAATGAAGAGATGGTAGGATGTTTTCCTGAAACACAGTTGTTCTCAGAAACTGAACTTTGAAAGTTCCCATTAGAGAAGGTGACTGGGTGCTGAGCGACAGTTCCCAAATGTTCCCAAGTTATTTTAACATGAAAAACTAGAGCCCTTGTTTTCAAAAACTTTCTTCTATGTCTTTAGTATTACATTATTTCATTTTTTAAAAATACACCTGAACATTGAAGAGAAGGTTGTTCTCTTGTTAAAAACAAACATGTTCTTTGGGTGTCTAAGTGGAGATAAGCTTGGGCTACTTAAAGGTAAACCCATAATTGGTATTTTCCACAGTTACTATTTCTGTTACGGGAAGATAAGATCAGTAAAAGCAAACACATGTCAAGTCTATAAACACCAGGAAATGGCTTTAGTTTCTAAAGGAACAGTTTCATAACGCTTTTGGTGAGAGGCTGGTTGTAGGTTCATTTGTTCTTTTCTTTAATTATTTCTCGCTTTTTCTATCCCTAATGTTTTTGGTAGGTTTTTGCCATGTTTTGATTCTATCCCATAGGAAAATACTGAACTAAATTTTGAAAATCTACTTGTATCTCTGAAAGTCCAGTTTCTACCCAGCTTGATAGTAATAAGAGAGAATACGTTTATGAGGCAAATGATTTTTTGCAAATCAGCTCTTTAGGTAACTGGCAAGAGGATTACAAAATTTAACTTTCTAAGGCCTAAAAGTATTTCATTATGGATTCAATTCTTGATGTGAGATACTTACTTCATTTTTTCTACATGCATGTTGTCTGAAATGTCACATATATCCAGTGAATCCATTTTCATTACCTCATTACCTTTTTCTTCTTTCTGTTGTTTTTGATAGCCCGGTTTCCCTTATCCATCCCCTCATCATCACTCCGGTCTGATCTCCTCTCCGATCAACTTTGAGCACATCTATCACATGACTGTTAATTCTGCTGAAAAATTTCTCTCTCCTGATTCCATAAACCCTGAATATTCCCCGTCTCTACGCTCTGTCCCCGGTACACCAAGCTTTATGACTCTGAGGGTATGAACAGCTGAGTTAGGTGTTAACTTGTACTAACCATGTGTGGATCTCTGCCTGGCTTCATAAGTAACACTGCCAAGGGGGTACATTCTGTGAACGTTTCCCTTTGGCCTGTTTCTCTGTTGCCAAACTTCTATTCTTCCTCTTCCTCCTCTTCTGTCTTGGAGTTCTACTTTTTTCTTCTTTTGAGGAAAAAGATGAGGATTTGGGAAGATTTCAGTTTTATTTCTAAAACAGTATTGGAGGTTTTTCTATTTTTTAATAAAACATCATCCCATCATGATATTTTTCTTTACGGATACCATAAGAAATAGCCCCTGAATAAGTAAATCTTTATTCTATTAAAAACAAACAAAAAAGGGATGTAGAATTTCTGAATTCTGGATTGCTCGTTACCCTAAAACCAGTTCAGTTCAGAGAAACTTTTTATATTTAGTGAAGTTAAAGTCTATAGAAGGGCCTGTCCAAAGGCCTTTTATCTACAATAAACCCCTTCTTGAAAAGCTCACAATTCTCAAAATTATAAAGTATAATAGTACCAGTGAATAACAGGAAAAATTAGCAAAAGAAGGTAGTCTTACTAATCTTTGAGTTGCTGATGCACCTTTAATTCCAGCCAGGATCCAAGATAAGAGAAGTAGATCAACAAGAGAAAAAAAACACAGTGTGCTGCATTCTGAAGGACCGTGGTACCTGCCACTGGGTCCTTCCATGCAGCCTTGCATCTTTGTAACTAGTGTCTCTGCAGTGGGCTGGAGAGCAAGTGGGCCATTCAAGCTGAATAGCCACACATCTGTCAAGAAATATGTACTGACTTCAAGGGAGCATTTTCTCAAGTTTGTTTTGCAGATAATAAAATATTTAGATTGTATCATGCAAACGCATTTCCTCTGGCTTAGAAAAAATTAGCATCCATTTTTTATTTGTGTATTTAGTAAAGTAATTTTCCAATAAGAAAGCTACCTGTAGGGCGAGAAGTTTATTTTTGTATTTTTGTTTGCATTCTAAATTGTGATGTTTTTAAATGTCATTGTTATTGACATTAAACTATAATGTCATTTAAGTGTCTTAGTTCACAAGATAAGATCACTTATGATAAACTAAGCTTCAGTGTGCTTGGTAACAGATTTCAGGGAGTGGATTCTAGGGGAAGTTGTATAAACTAATCAGTCAAGAATTTTTGATATAGAAGATGGTGGAAATGTTGCTTAAGTTAGTCTTCTATAAATAGAAACACTACGATTGGTGGAAGTTTTACCCTAATCTTAAGCATATTTGTGCAGGAAAAGGACCATCAGCTTAGGTTTCACATTACTTCATAATGAAGTTGAACTTCAGCTGAATGAATGATAAACTGTTGGGTTTGGGTTTTGTGTGGGTTTTTTTTTTCCCCCAGAACATATCTTCTGTGTATCATTCTTTTATTACCTCAACATTCAGTGTTACTAAACCACTGGTATTTTTTACAGGCTTAATTTTTGCCATTTTTTTCTAGGGTAGGTTTGTTTTATAGAAAAGGACGACACAAAGGTACCTTAAGGTTAATAGCAAAAACAATAAAAATTTAAAGGTTTAAACTGATATCCCCATCTCTCTTGAACTTGACTCTGCTGCATTGTATGCATGTCATCGGCATCTCTCAGGGTTGCTCCTATGAGTGGCTGTTGAAACGCTAGCACTGTTTTCTGTTTTAAATTTTTTTATTTTCTTAGAGAAAAAAAGGTAAAATGTTTGCTTTGAACGAATAACACAGTAAGAATTACATGGACTTCGCAAATTTGATATATGAACCAAAATGGCAATAGTTGAACGTAGAGCCACCCAGCCAGCCAAATCTCAGTATGTGTGATTCTTTAAAATGTATGATTTGGAGTTTTTCAAGATATATTAGTGCATGTTTTCCAGGAGATGTTCGTGGATGTTTGCTAGCTTTGGCCCTGCACTAGTTGTGTTGCCATAACCTTCTCTCAGGTACCAGCCCTGACACCCCTTCCGGTCTGAAAAGGTTAGGGCCATCGAGGAGACCGTGTTCAGGCAGCTGGTCCGACGCACCACCTCTCTAGGTGTGTGTTACTTTCAAAGCACTCTGTGGCTCATTTTCCTCCCTTGGACACCAAAATTATTCAATATTAGATGGGAAACTTCTCACACCAACATTCCCAAGTTAAAGGACTTCACCCAGGCTGTGATTGTCAACAAGCGTCATAGTTATGACCCGTGGTGCTGCTCTCTGTCCGTGAGGCAGGAAGGCTGCCTGGTGACTGGGATGGGAACGTGCAAATGGCACTTTCGGTATCAGGACGATAGAAGGTGTGCTTGAGAAGAATGTACTTTGAAGTGGCTTTCTTCTAAATGGGCTTATTCCGCTTTTGAATTATCCTAAGAAAATAAAAATCTCATATGTAGTAAAAGCTTTGTTTCAGTTATCTGCAGAGGTCCATGTAATTCTACATTTCACTGTCACTTCTAACCATGTAACTTTCACTTACTGCACTCACAACAACAAGAAAAAAATTGTTATCTGTTGGTAAGTATTTCAGTAAGTATAAAGATAAGCACTTATCTTTGGTTGGGGTGAGGGTTACCTCTGTTAGGGCTTTAGTACTTTTGTGGGCGGGAGGGATTATTCTGTTTCTTGTCCTGTATCACTCTGGTCAAGTCAACTTTATTTCTTGAAATTAGGGTGAAAAAATAGACATCTCTGTAGAAAATCAGTTTCACTCTGGATGAAGAATTTTTCTTTCTCTTTTGATTTTAGAACCCTCGGCCTCAGGAAAGTCGGACAGCATTCAGTGGCTCGGTCAGTATTCCATCTATCACCAAATCCCGCCCTGAACCTGGTCGCTCCATGAGTGCCAGCAGTGGCCTGTCAGCAAGTAAGTGGCCCCAGCTGCAGGAAGCATTTCCATAGCAAGGTAGCAGCCGTGCATTATCGGTGGCCAGTGTCTCAGACCTGGCTGGGGAATGCCTAGGAGGCACAAGTGCAGCTGTTACAAAAATAGTCATAGAATCCTTTTAGAAGTTACAGTCCATGTGGGAGACAGACAAACAGTACTACAAATTGTGATGATAAATGCTCCGAAGGAGGGCTTCCCTGGTGGCACAGTGGTTGAGAGTCCGCCTGCCGATGCAGGGGACGCGGGTTCGTGCCCCGGTCCGGGAAGATCCCACATGCCACGGAGCTGCTAGGCCCGTGAGCCATGGCCGCTGAGCCTGTGCGTCTGGAGCCTGTGTTCCGCAACGGGAGAGGCCAAAACAGTGAGAGGCCCGCGTACCGCAAAAAAAAAAAAAAAAAAAATGCTCCGAAGGAAATAAACAGGGGACAGTAATAGAGAGTAACAGGCAGTAGCTGTTGAGGATGAATACACACTTAGAATAATTAGCAAGGTCACGTGCCCGCCCTGGGGGTGAAGTCACATTGACTCATGTTTGATTAACTGAAAGGAGGCACAGTGGCCACCTGGTAGTGGGCAGGGAGTGACAGAGTAAAGCTCAAGAGGTAGGCAGGGGTCAGATCAAGCAGGGACTTGGGGACCAACATAAGACATTTTTTATTTTTTTAGAAACACAGTGGGAAACCTCCGAAGAGTTTTAAGTAGGCAAGGACCATTATCCAAGGGCAAGACTGTTCTTGGCCAACAGCTGCTTTTCTGTCACTTTCTCAGAAGTAACCTGGTATTGGCTTCGATCAGAGAGAGTGGGGCGAGTGCGCCCAAGCACATGCAGGCCCAGGGTGGACCCGGGGTAACGCTAACGAAGCCTCCCTCGCTTCCCTGCAGCTGAGCTCTGAGAAGAACAGCCGGTAGTAACTCCACCTCACATTTCAGAGTCATTCAGTCAGAAGCGTATCCGTTGCCTTGTATTCTTGAATGTGAGACATTCGAGTCAGGCCTCCCGGCGCAGACTGAGTGTCCTCCTTCACGCACTGTTCATGCTGAGGACGCCGGTATCAGCACCCGGCTTGTGCCCAGCTCTTGGTTTTAGGCTCTGGCAACACAGAAGTGAAGGGTGCTGGAATACCATTTGTTCTCTTGCTGTGGAACAAATTACCCCAAAATTTACAAGCTTAAAAGAGCAAACGTGGGCTTCCCCGGTGGCGCAGTGGTTGAGCGTCCGCCTGCCGATGCAGGGGACAAGCGTTCGTGCCCCGGTCCGGGAGGATCCCACATGCCGCGGAGCGGCTGGGCCTGTGAGCCACAACTACTGAGCCTGCGCATCCGGAGCCTGTGCTCCGCAACGGGAGAGGCCGCAACAGTGAAAGGCCCGCGTACCGAAAAGAAAAAACAAAAGAGCAGACGTCTATTATCTCTCACAGTTTCTGAGGGTTAGGAGTCTGGGAGCTTAGCTGGACAGTCCTGGCTCAGGGCCTCTCAGGAGGCTGCAGTCAGGCTGTCTGCTAGGGCTGCCATCAACTCCGAGCTCAACTGGGACTAGAGAAGCCACTTCCCAGCTCACCCACGTGGTTGTTGGCAGGCCTCTGTTCCTCACCAGCGTGGGCCTGAGTGTCCTGGTGACGTGGCCTCTGGCTTCCCACAGAGCAAGTGACCTGAGACAGAGAGACCGAGCAGCGGTCTCAGAAGGGACATGCCATCGCTTCTGCAGAGTGCTGGTGATCACACAGACCACCCCTGGAACCATGGGAGGGACCCTGCCCCGGGCCTGCAAACCAAGGACAGGCGCCTGCTGCAGAGACTGGCTGCAGACGTACAGAGCACGTTCAAGGAGTTTTCAGTTGACAGGCAGAAGTTGAAGGGCACATCTTGTGACTTCCTTGCCGTCATCTCCCAAAGTCATCTCTACGCTGTGTGTAGCCTTGATTACAATGAAAATATCTAGCCAATTGGAAAAATGGCAACCATTTTATGAATTATCTTTTTACTAATGGTAGCTCGATAAGATAGTAGATTTACTATAACTAACCAGAAGTTATCAACACTTGAGATGCGAAGAAAGTATCACAATATTAATAGTTAAGTTCATAATCCCTTACCCAAAACTCTCAGAGCCAGAAACCTGTTTTCAGAATTCAGATTTTTTTTTATATATATTTTAGAAGGGAATCTACCATATATTATATTACATTCCAAGCAAGATCTAAGACAGCACCTACAAACAATATTTATAGAGCAAAATTTATGACTAGTCACACTATGAATATATAAATAAATGTACTATTTTTAAGTGAAGTCTGTAATCAGCCTCCAGCCAGTTCAGATTAAGTCTGCCACCACATGAATTGACGTCAAACTCACGAAAAAAGTTTTGGTTTTTCAGGGCTTTGGGATTTGTGGAATTGCAGGTAAGGATAGGACCTGTGATACAGAGATTTAAAGGGCTGAGTGGCCATCTCCTTAGGAGCGCTGAAGTGAGGGTCCACTGTCACTGTTGACCATATGCAAGCTACAGACTGGAGCCAGCTCCAGGTCCCTGTCAAGGCCTTTAATGCAATAATCAGGCGTGGCCTTCCTGAGATTCTTGGTACCAAGCTGTTTGTGTAGAGGTTAAGAGGAAGACCAGCCCAGGAATTCCAAGGGGCATCTGCTCGTTAGAGTGCTTCTCGCTGGCTTCAAGAGTAGCCCAGCTCACGTAAAGAATTTCCAGAAGGGCAGCCTGCCAAGAGAGACACAAGAAGAAACGGGGTTCCGTGTTGTCAACCTCCAGAACCAGAAGCACAGGCTCTTCCAGGGCCAGACTTGCGGTGGCTTCCTGACTGAAGTCAAATTAACACAGAGTTTTCCACTGTGACTACCCGCTCCTGTCAGTGACAGGCTCACTGGGGAGCCTGCAGACCCTCCTAGAGGTCATGTAGAGTTAGACACCGTCACTCCAAGAGATCTGGGGCCCAACCCCCTGAATCACCATCTAGAACTCTTTGGAAGAGACCCTGCCTGAGTTGGGACCACAGTTTTCAGATTGTCCCCCTTTGCTGTTCAATCAAAACAGCCCATCTCAGTTTTTTAAGATTAGGGTGGTTGAGTGTAATTTTTCTCTGAAAGGAACATTCCCGAAGTTAAAAAAGAAAGAAAAGAAAAGAAAAAAAGTGTAAATCACAGAGGTGGATTAATTTCTCCATTCTATAAACGATCACTAGGACAGAGGAAAAGAGCCCAGCAAGTGTGTACTAAGCTCTGGGCAGCCCCCTCACACACCTTCCGTCTCACGTTTCATTCTCCGTGTATTGAGTGCTCAGTTCCCACAAAAATCCCATAAGATAGAATTTATTTTCTTATTTACAAATGAAGAAAACTGAGACTTAGATAAAGTAACCTGCTTAAGGTCACACAGGTTAGTAAGCAGAGCAGCAGAACTCTCTGGCATTTTGGGTTTTTTATTCAGAGCGACAAAATTTTAAAAATAGTAACTTATATTACAGCTTTTGTTAAATTGAGCACTAAACTAGGCATGGAATTCAAAGAGAAGTTATACAAAGTGATTTATGCCTTCAATTAGGTTGTAATCTAATCCACAGCAAAAAAGTAAAGAGTACATAGCCAGAGAGACACATCCACAAATGAAAAGCAGTCTATGTCTGGTGACAGACGGCTTAGAAATTGGATGGAGTGTTGGAAGTAAGAGTAAGTCAGTGGTTCTCAGCCTGAGATGCATTCTAGAATCATCAGAAGGGCTTTTAAAAGTTAAGTCAGAAATTCTGTTATTATTGGTCTGGGACGGGGCCCAGGCACTGGTATTTTTAAAGCTCCGTAATATAATATGCAGCATACAACCAGTGTTGGTAACGTCTGCAATAAGTAAATTATGGTGACACAGCTGAGGGGCTCAGGAAACAAACCGAAACTAGAAGGAAGCTGGGGGTGATCACCAAGGACAGGGCTTCAGCAGGCAGGCTTCACAGTCTATACCTCGTAGTTATGCTAAAACCTCAACGCAGTCTCACAGTCTTTTTTGACCAGTGATCTTAATATTGCAGCTCAGCAAGATTAAAACATTTTCCAGTAAAAACTAAAGAATAGTAGGGAATGCTAAGAGTTTTAAACAGGTACTCACAATACCCCAATATTTCTAAGATTTTTGGGGGCACGGTGCCAGTCCTCCTTTGATGTACCCCAACTCTAAGATCAAAATAGAGTGTGATTTTAAAGAAACTCACCTCATTTTTGTATCTCAGGCCTTTTGCCCTGTGGAATGAAAATGCTTCTCTTTTGTTCGTTTGTGTTTTTTATGAAAATCCTCTACAAGTTAAGTGACAGTTATGCATCATTAGGTGGCATGGTCTTCACTTCTGGGAACTGTTCTATTCTGCTTCATCGTTCAGCACATGTGTTTTGAGCACCTGCTGCATACCCAGTCCTGCACCGGGTCCTGCAGAGGCAAAGACCATCCTTCTATTAAAAGAATGGCAAGGCACATAATTACAACATAGGATCCGAATGCTCTGAAAGAGGTGATAGGAAGTGCTGTAGGTGCTCCAGGGAGTAGGAAAGAAAACTCACTAAGGCAGTAGCACGTGGGTGGAGACTGGAAGGATTGATCCTGTGGAATTGTGTAGCAAGCAGGGCAGCCTGGGCACGGCCAGTGAGAGCAGAGGCCAGCGGCCTGGTGAGTGCTGCCCGCTCACCCAGCAGCCCTGGCGGCTGGGCTCCGAGGTGGGCTTGGGTGTCAGGGTAACGCAGCTGGACCCACTGTCCATCAGTAAAGGGCTGTAAGCGGGAGGATGACCCCAGGGCAGCGGGAAGGATGGCTCGTCACCTCAGCAGTCTGTGCACTTTCTAGAGGATCGTCCCCTTCTGCACGTGTAAAGTTTCACCTGAACGATGTGCTTGTAGGGTCATCCGCACAGAACGGCAGTGCATTGAAGAGAGAATTCTCTGGAGGAAGCTACAGTACAAAGCGGCAGCCCATGCCCTCTCCGTCAGAGGGCTCGCTGTCCTCGGGAGGCCTGGACCAAGGAAGTGACGCCCCGGCGAGGGACTACGACGCAGAGGTGAGTACCGCGTGGGCAGTACCTCTGTCTGGGGACAGGGGTTTGGAGAAGTCCCGAACGAGAAAAGGCGAGTGCGTTTCCCAAAGCCGGTCCACCGCCTTAAGCCTGGCCTCCGCTGCCGCAGGGATCAGCCACTCACTGCGGCGGGGGTGGCGGAGCCAGTCACTTGGGTTGCAAACTGCAGTTTCCCTGGAGGTGTTCAGACTTCTAATAGCTTCTGTATGAAAATGGCCTACGTTTCTAAAGACCTGCAGAAGGGCCTATGAGCGTTTGTTATCTTCTGTGCCTCTCACTCAGCTCAGAAAAGGGGCTTTCTACCGACAGGAGAGAAGTCACGTCAGTTCATTGGCCAGGGTGGCTGGAGGGGAGCCGTGGTGGCCTGAGCCCCTCCCGCCCCTCTGCTGCTCCCTGACGTCTTCCTCTGGGCCTCACAGGACTCTGATTCTCCGAGGCATTCCACGGCTTCCAACAGTTCCAACCTGAGCAGCCCTCCCAGCCCGGTGTCGCCCCGGAAGACCAAGAGCCTCTCCCTGGAGAGCACCGACCGCGGGAGCTGGGACCCATGAGTGGCCTCTGCTCTCAGACCAGACGCCGGAGCAGCGGCCGCTCTGGGCTCCCTCCCCTCACTCCCCCTGTGCTCTCACTGTCATCTCCCACCACCCCTGCCTGGAAGCGCCAGGGCCGCAGCAGTAGCAGGCGGGGACTCAGGAATTCTGCCTCTAGGACTCACATCCACGCACCCCTCGACTGAACAGCAACAGCCGTAAAGGCAGACTTTCATTGAGCAGCTCAGATGAATACCGATTTCATTTCATACCCTTAGCGTTGCTTTCCAGAATATTTCCCCCCTCCCCTGAAAGGTAGCTTAAGTAGGCAGATTACACAAATGTAAGCGATAAGAATAAGATTAGACAGCCATTGTTTTCACAGTAGAGCCTCGTAGCCCTGAGACAGCACGTGGGGCTCGCCAGTGGGCCCCGGGCACGCCATGCCCTTCAGCACCACAGTGAATGTCGACCTGATCGTTGCCAGTAAATCCCTGTTCACTAAAGCGATGCATATTTTACTACAAAATAGAGTTTAACTAAATACACAAATGTAGAGGTTAAATACTGACTGTATATAATAAAAAGAAGCATCTTGTATTCAACAAAAGATGGATGCATATATGAGACAGAGATCATTTAATTTAAAGAAATGTATTGTTTCTTGTCTGTTTTCCACCTAAGTAATCAAAGGGTAGAAAGGCCTCCAGCTGACGTTTACAGGAGGAGAGCGAGAGGAGTGAGAATTACCCTTAGTGCCATTCCTCACCCTGGTCGCAGTCACCTGGGAGCTTTAGGGAATGTTCCAAGGCTTTGGTTTCATCGGTTTGGAGTGTGACCTGGAAACCAGACTTTTAACATTTGAAGCCTCTTCAGCAGCATCATTTAAAGGCATATTTACTTCTATCCAAGACATTTCTTTTTCTAGCAGTAGAATTTGAACCACACTTCTCATTTATTACTATATTTTGGTATCTTCTGCTGATGAATGTAGAAATGCAGTTTTGTCACCTTCTGGACCCCTTCCACCTGAAAGGACACAAGGAATGTCGTAGTTTCTGAAGGTCCATAAAAGGGTTCATAAAAGTGCTTTTTCTCCTTGGCGAAACCCCTTACTCCCTGAGTGGCAGTGAGGCGTCTGGCCCCCAGCTGCGCCAGCTTCTCAGGGAGGGGTCTGTTTTGAGGGGGGTGTGAGCTTCCTCAGATAAGCCTGGGAAAGGGGGTTTAGTTACCAAATAATGTAAAACCTCAAACGCAAGGACTTGACCAGCCTTAACCAAATACTCTTTCCCGCAAGCAGTGGGAAATGGACGCGCTCAGCCTGGGCGCGGGCAGGAAGTCAGCCCAGCATGGCCACCTTGACTGCTGAAGCTTTTCCTCCCTCGGTTGCTGTGTTGTGTTGTTAGTCACATTCCCATTTGGACTCCCGCTGTTTTAATTACCACAAGGAAATGAGATGCAGGACCAGGACCTTATGTCTCCAGAGTCATTTCACCGGTTAAGCACATGAGTAGAGAAAGAGATAGAAATAAAAACATTTCATGGAAGTAAAGAGAATCTGCCTCTCTTTTACTTTTTCATCTAAATTTCTCTGAGAAATAGAAACAGATTTTCTGCTCCCTTCTTTAAAATTCAGCTAAAATGGAAGAATTTTCCTGCAGTTGCTTGTCTGAATCGCAGTGTTTGAGCACCGTCATTTCACCCCTGGCCCCGATTTCACACCTTTCTCCTCAGCAGCAGCTGTGCCGGCCTTCCCCACCACAAGCCACAGGGAGCTATACTGTTTGCACTGACGCCACTCTCTGGAACAGGTTACTGAGGTTCAGTGAGGGAAGAAAGGATCCCGTTTGGGGATTATATTATAAAATGTTACAACAGAGAATTTTAAAATAATAACAGTTTTGACATTTGAACTTGGTGCTTGCTCAGATTTGATTGTTTTACTTTGGATGGGCATAAATTACTGCACAATTCTAACCTAAATCCTTTGCTTTTGGAAAAGTGTCATGTAAAAATACTTTGGTGCATTCAGATAGCAAGAGTGAGACCTTGAGTCTGGCTATGGCCAGGACTCCGGTAGCTCCGTAAGCTTGACACTTCTCGGGAGAGGAGGGAACCGGCCAGCCAGGTGCCAAGTGCACGTGGCCCGCTCTCCTCCAGACCCTCCCTCCCCCCGTTTTCCTTTCCCCTCGCGTCTTCCTGCCTCCCTTTTCTCCCCCGAGGAGTCAGACCAGGCTGAGATTCACAGGACTCCACACGAAGCCATTAGTTTATGGCTTTGACAACCAAGTTTCTGCTGCCTGTAGGTGCTTATTTTTTTAAAAGATGCTTTTAGGATCAAAATATAACCATACCTGAAGTCTGGGCTCCACTATGATGAGTCATACCCTGCAGCCCCCGCAACAGGGCAGATGAGAGAAGGGCTTGTCTTGGCCACTGGGCTGACTGGGAGGTGTAATATTAACCCAGTGGATTATACTCCAGTAATCTGAAATGGTCTTACCAGTAGTGAGAGAGCAGTCCCAAATATGATTAGCTTCCAATAGTAGAACTTCGGGGGAGAAACACTGCCAAGGGTAGTAGTTTGGGAGGTATTTTCCCAAGACAATGATCATTCTACTGGGCTTATCCCCATTCTTAAATATGAAGCAGTTACCTTCAGAAGCTTCTTGAGAATGATTTGGAAAGATGGGGAATTGGGTTCTAGAGAAACAGAAAACGTAATGATCATCGAAAGGGATCATTGAAAGATCATGGAACAGATGTGATGTTGCTGTCTGAAGTTATCCTTTGTTTTCGTGCAGGACATTCAAAGAATGTATGTGGCAGCAGGAACTCATTTCTCTTCTCAGTAGAAAGTAAAAATAAGTGAAGAGGCATTTCTGGCATAGTCTAGATGTGTTGGTATTTGGTGCTATCTTTGTTCAGCCAATTTGTTGTCTGCTCTTGAATTCTGACTACTTTAATCTGCTCGTGCTTTGGGTGTATAAAATTACATATATATATATATGTATTTCTTTTGCCAAAAACAAAAGCCTTCCTCCTTGTCAAATGATTGCTAAAGCAAATGTCACTTCTTTAGTTATGTGCGTGCACACACACACGCACACACGCGCACGCACGCACGCGCGCACACACGCACACACACGCGCACACACGCACACGCACGTGCACACACACGCACACACCCATCCCTACACTTAGTGATTTATCTTCCTTCCCAGGGAGCACAGTTTTAAGGCTATGAAATACAATTAAAAAGGGCCCATCTACTGAGTTTTCCAAGCAATTCTTGTACCCAGGTTTCAGGGAAGAATCTGAAATTCCTGTTACGTTTACAGCAACAACCTGCCATTCCCCAGCTGCCTCTCAGCCCCTCTGTCTGCCTTCCACATGGTTAGGATCCTGTCATTTTGCTACTCAGTGGCCACATCTACTTCTGCGAAAGACCAGTTGCATTTCTATGGACTCTCAGGTATCATTAAAGAAAATCCAGAGTAGGAGTGGGTGGACATCCCTAACCCCCAGGTACAGCAAGGCCGTTTGCTGGCCTTTGGCCATGAACACTGTAGTCTCCCAGCTGCACAGAGCTTTGTAAAGCTCAGCGTCCACCCTCTGGACAGAGGGGCACTCTCGGCAGCGGCCAGACTTCGCCACTGCCCCGGTCCACTGGGCAAAACAGGGAAGTAACTGGGCGCCTTGCTCCCCACCTCTCGGTGGCCCAGTCCCTGCATTCGCTAGATAAGCCACTTGGCATTTCGTTGGGCCCACGTTAAAACCTCTTTGCTTGTGATGACTTGATCATGCAAGTCCAGTGTCCTCTGCAGAGTCCTGCGCCATTAGAGGGCCTCGCTTCAGCTGGTGTTTTGTTTCAGCGCTGGCCGGTAGGCCGGCGCCCCTCTCCCTTCCCAGGGACAACCGTTACACACAGACACCATTGCATTTATGGGGGGAAATTGATGAAAACAAGTCAACCTTGAAATTTCATGAAAACAAAATGACCTGCCTTTTTATTTGATAGTGTAATACCATTTGTTTTATAAATTTTTTAGGGTTTTTTTTCTCATTGTAATATTATTGTACAGTTTTGCATGGCCTGGGTGTAATCATTTTTTTGTTTAGAATATAATGCTGACAAATAAGTGTGTATGGAAGGGGAAAAGATACTGCTTTGGCCTCTCATCACTCATTTCATTTTGTTTGGTTTTATCCCCTCATTGTCTTAGGGAACTTTATGAGATTCTCTGCTACCAAACAATGGTGTGGATTCTTTTGCACAGAGATATTTAAGGTGGGACAGTCAAAATGTAACAGAAGACGCCTCGCCGATATTTTACGTTGGTATCACTTAATATTAACCAGACTCTCATGTATTGCAATAAAACAGGGAACTGTTCGAATTGAGTATTTTGTCGTCTTTTCCCTGATTAAAAAGTCTGAGGAATGGAGCAAAGGTGACTGACTCTTTTTGTCTCGTTTGACCCCCATTTCTGCCCGTCCCTCTCCTCATCCAGCTTCCTCGTTACACTAGAAGGATGTGGGGTTAGTCTAATCTAGGACTTTCTTAGTCCCTTCCATAGCTCAGGCGGCATAGTGTTCCATTCCCCTGAAGCTTTCAACTCCCCTCTTCTGGACCTCCCTGCCGGTGCCACCGCTGACTGTAAACGGGGCAGCCCTTTGATCTTCCATCTTCCTCCTGCAGAGAAGCAGCAGACACTTCCCACGACTTGTGCTGGGACGTTTGAACGTTCAAAACGCCCCCGTGACCCAGGAGTGAAGTTTTTTGCCCCAGGAAAGTGCGCCTCAGCTGCGCTTGATCCCTGACCCGGGCGTCACTGCCGCTCAAGCCAGGCCCTCGCCCTGCTGGCTGGTGGCCACCTTTGCCCGCGGTTGCCAGCACCATGTCATACAGCCTCTGGTGCAGCTGTGGCTTCTCCGCCGCTGTGCAGTGGGGCCTGGGAAGCTGCTGCGGCAGGGACCTGGCAGCTGTGCCGTCCCCTCCCCGCACCCTTTCTCCGATGAGGAATGTGGGCTGAGCCTTCCGGGTTCAGGCACCAAGAGCCTCACGCTGGGAACAGGGGCAAACCTTGCAGAAGCGTCTGGAGGCGCGAAAGGCTGTGACGCTGACCTCGGGGTCCTCACCATCAGCTCAGAATCGTTTACAAGTGAAAGAAAGAATTAATGCCACAATGCTAGCATTTTTTTTTTAATTGAAACAAGTAAATCAGACAATTACAAGAATTGTACAGAGGTTAACAGCCTGAAACGACCCCTTGGGTCCAAGCAGATGACACGTGCACATCACCTTCCACAAAAGGCCCAGGCGCCGGAGCGGGAAGAAGGGCCCACACACACCCAGAGAGCACGCGGCTTTCTCTCCCCTTCTGGGGCTCCTGCCCCTCCCCACAGGAGGCAGCAGTTCTCTGGAAACCTCTGCTTGTCCAAAAAAGCCTCTAGGAACCAGCCAGAGAGCAGGTGTGGGTGGACCTCGCTTGGAGAAGTAGTGCTTGTCGGCACTGCTCAGATCAGCACTTCTCCCAGGTGCAGATCCAAGCTGGAGAGGAAAAGGCAGAAAACACAAATCTCATTCTAGAAACACACAGACACAAACCTTGTATTACACACTCCATAAAATCCAAAAAGGCTTTTCTGTTTTGTTTTTGGTTTTTTTTTGGTGGCAGGGATTCAAAGGGAGAACTCTCATCTTCTTCTGGTTACCATTCACATTAGCAAAAAGCCCTGTTACAAAAAGGAAAAGGAAATAAAATCGTCTTTTTATCGAGAGTCATTTCAGAGGATGAGTAAACAATAAGCAGATTCTGCCAGACAGCAGTGGGGCTGCACTTCCGTGCTGGCGCCTCTCGCCCCACACCCACTCAGCGATGAGAACCGTGTATAAGTGCTGGCCACGGGCTCTGAGCAGCGGCCCCCCCACCAGCGCGGCCCCCTCTCACTGGGTGAAGCTTAAACGGAGCGTGGGTACCACCGGCTTCCTACTAGTTTTAGCGGCAGGAAGACGGAGGGTCCCGCCTAACGGCCGGGCCCGCGGCTACTGCTGCTCGGCCTGCCTCCTGCGGTAGTTGCTGTAGGCCTCCTCGAACATGGCCTTGCAGGGGAACCGGGCCTTCAGCTTGGAGCAGATGAGGAAGGAGCCCCCCATCTTCCTGTGCAGCGAGTAGGTCTCCTCGGGCGGCGGGACGAGCCGGTGCTTCAGCATGACGGGGATCAGGTTGTGGATCTTCTCGGTGGTGCTCTGGGTGCCAAAGTCAAAGGGCTCCTCCGAGGCAAAGGCCTCCCCCAGGATAAGGATGGCATCCAAGTGGGCATCTTCCATGGCCTGGAGGGAGGTGAATGGAGGCAAGATCAAAGAGCCCTCACCAGCCCAGGGCTCCCATCACGGGGCCCCGACTGACTGCTCGCTGAGGAGTGGGCCAGGTAGGTGAGTGTTTCAACCAGACTGAAGAACGTTAACCAGGGTGTAAACTCAAACCAACAGGGGCCAGGAGAACATCATTCATGTGTGAACTGGGCTCCGTGGAAGAAGAAAGGAAG